GGCATCGGTGCTGACGTTACCGATGCCATCGTACAAGTGCTAGCAGGGACTTCCTCTCAAGTTCATGTTGGCATCGAAACTTCCTGTGTGCTGGGCATTGCGTAGAGCTCGTGCTTTTTGGGGGCAGGTCAATGAAGCCAACTCTGCAGCCATGAAGATCAAAGAGGCGGCCTCCTAAGATCCCGAAAGGGGGGCAGGCAGAAAATTGCTTGAGGCGTGAGATGCGCGGTGACACAGTAGGGGGTCGTGTTCTTAGCGTGGAAGGAGGCTGCACTTGTGGACAGGTTTGAATCCCACCCGCACTTGAAGGCACAGGTATATTTCGCCGTGCAGCAGCCAAGCACCCGAAAATGAAACGCTATGCGACCCGCCTCGGCCGGGGCCTGCCACCACTGCATGGGCCCGACAAGTTTTATTGGGGCATACGGGAGGTAGTGGTCAGGGTTCACGGCTTTCGGCGAGTCTGGGGTTTAGGGTTTCTGGTTTCGGGTGTAGATGCTGTCAAAAGTAAAGAAGCAAGAATGCACTTAACAAAGGAAGCAAGATGAGGCGATGGGATGGCAAAGATGGCTCTTTAGAGAGTGGCAAGAGAGGGGGGGGGGGGTGGACGGGGAGCAATGAGTACATAAAAAGGCGGGGGTCGGGGGTTTTAGGTTTGAGGTTCGGTGGATTGCAGCAAAAGTGTTCTGGAAGGGAAGGGGAGGGGGGACACGGGGAAGTGAGGAGAGGAGCAGGCATCTGCCGCAAAAAAATGCAAGAGTACATAGAACTACGTCGGCAAGGCTGGCTCTTTAGAGAGGCGGCAGTGTCCGTGATGGAAGGGCGGGGGCGCATGAGGGGGGTGTTGGCAGAGGCACATCAAGATTCAGGTTTCCTGGGCCCGCAACCCACAGCAATAGCTTCCTGCGTCTGGGTGCCTCCCTCTCTCCTCACTGCTCTGACGAGGAACGGATGCTCGCCGAGAAGCTTGAAGAGCAGCATCCTGGCTCATGCATAGTCTATATCTCGGAGCCGAAGGTTGACAGTTTCTGGTGAAGGCTACCTAAGGCCCCAAGATGCCGGGTGAAATGCATGTCGCTTGCCTTGCCACCTGCGCCTTAAGTGAGGAAAATCATTGAGTATCAGGAGAACAAGGACGGGTGGCACACGAAATCATGAAATCAAGCCGGCCTGGACCTGCCTGCACATACCGCTTTCTCCTGTACCATCACATACTTGCCTTGCTTCCCTCCATTCCACTAGCCTTGCTCAGGAGGCGCGCGAGCGCGAGCTCGAGGCGGAAAAGTCTCGCCTCGCTGCAGACAAGGCGCGTCCAATTGGTCGCGGCATGTTGTGAAGATGTTGTGAAGAGCTTGTGAAGAGTTTGTTACTCAGTGCCGGGCTCCACATGCCGAGCATCTGGTCAGGAGAGGGAGACCGCCAGATTGAGAGCAATGTCTTAGCCCAAGCATGGAAGTGGATATGCGCACAATGCCAGACGTCCCATTCAATGCTGACCTGGATGCAGACTCGGTTCGTGACACCACTGCAGTAATCATGCAGTAGTAGTCACTGCCTGCTTCAAGGCAGGAGAAGGCCCAGGACAAGGCAGCAGAGATGGATGCGCTGAGAGCAAAGCGTCCTTGGGCAGCACCTGGTCAAACCATCGTCAAAGATTTCGCCCTTGATTGTATGAATGTCTGCTTTGTTTCCTTGCTTTGTGCCTTGAGGAGCCATGGAGGCAGCCGAGAGGACAGCACGCCAGAAGGAGACAGCAGAAAAGCAGAAGCAGGCCTGCACACCTCGTTCGTGCTCCCTCCTTGGGCTGCGTGGGTGCTTATGTCTTGCTTTTGCATAGGACCGCATGAACGCGGATCTCAAGGAGGCCGGATTGGGGCATTCAGGTTTGCGGATTCGTGTTTTCTTACACGTCGCTAAGAACACGGAGCAGAAGGAAGTGGGTGAAACTGCGAGGCGCGCCTCCAGCAGCAGGCGGAGAAGGAGCGCCGCTTGGGTGAGCAGGCCACGTGCATCCATCCACAATGCATCTCCGCGTGGGTGGTTCATGCAATCGTTGTGGTTTTCATTGAAAGCTGCAGTAGGCTGGAAACAGTCTGTACCTGGGGAGGCGAAATTTGAGCGCGACGAGTTTGAGCGCATCATTGAGGTCTTGTTGGATCCGATTGCGTTCACGGCTGCATGCTCTTTTGTCATACATGTCTTTGAATCATCGTCAGAGGAGGAAGCTAGGCAACGCATGGTAGTTATCGGCAGTTGTCCGCCTTGGAGAGGTCCAGATGCAGCAGGAAGAGGCAGAAAGGCAACGCCAGGGTGAGGCCAGGATACTGCCGCTGCTAATTCTGCACACCTTCATTCATGGTTCTGGAAGACAGAGAAAAAGCTAGACAGCTGGCAGTACCAGTAATGGAATGGCACAGTTCCCGAGCGCATGATGACAGGAGCACCACATACGCCTGCAGCATGCGCAGGAGAGCTTGCGTGCGCAAACCTGCTCAGAAATTGTTGTAGTGGCGCTGGGTGAGTTTGGCTAGCTGCTGAGTTGACTCGGCGTTTTGCGGTATGTGCCCCAACAGCCCCCAGGAACTCCGACAGCAGATTGCTGCACGCGAAGAGAAGGCTTACCAGGACTCTCCACTTGCACAACTCACGCGCTGTCATTTCTCGTCAACATGTCATGCATGGAGGAGCGCCGTGACTTCCTTGAAGAGGGGAACTCCGTGCGAGCCTCCATCGGCAACGAGCGCAAGAAGCTACTCGGAGCCAGCATATTCTTCAAAAGTCTCCAAACCAGCCGGGCCAAGTGGTTTTGAGCACGCATGTCTGTTGCAAGTAGAGGGTCTCCGTCGAACTGGCCAATGGAGATCTCATCCAATGGTCGATCGTGTCAACAATTAGGGCGTCTGCTATGGATCTCAGTGCAACATGTGCTGATCAGGCTCGAAAAGATCAAAGCTCGTGCCTGCTACGCAAGATGCAGTTTCTTTCAAAAGCGGGTGGGTATTAGTCTGTCATTAAAAGCTTGCGCGCAAGCCGATGAGCTGCACAACTGTGCACGCAGTCCTTTCGGGGTTGATGGGTTTAGGGTTGCGGGTTTGGGTATAGGGTGCTGGGGGGTTCAGGGGATACAAGGGGGTGCTCAGGATTTTTTTTTGGTGGAGTTTTTTGGGTGGTGTTTGTTGAAGGGGGGAGGGTTAGGGGCTTTTATGGGTTCAAGTAGGACTTTCAGTTTTTTTAGCAGTCATCTTCTTCGGGCTTTTACGTTTAGGGTACTCAGGCAGGTTCATCAGGTTTTCTTGTTTAAAGCTATTTTGCTCGACTGGCCATCTGACAGCTTTGAGCTTTTACAGACCAGCACCTCACAAGGCAAGATCGAGGAGCTCAAGAAGAGCGGCGTCCCCGAGAAGTATTGGGCGGAGCTTGCAAGGCCGGGGACTCTGTTGCACTCGAGGTGCGCTCGGACCCATTGGAGGAAAGAGGGCGCGTTTTTGTTCTTCTACACCTCGACAGGAAGAAGATCTCCATTTGAGAAGCATCGAAGAATGCATTCACCCAGTGGAGGCTTCACTTGTTCCTATGAGCAATTCAAAACATGCATGTCTCTTTAATAGCTGTCATATACTGACTAATGTGCAGCATCCTTCATTGTGGATGAGTTTCACCTCCCATTCGGTACGTACCCCGCAACGCCGCGGGGAAACCTCTGCCGGTTGGCAGATGCGAGAATGGTCCGCGTCTGCTGCTAGGGCAGGATGCAGGCCAAGATCCCAGAACCCCCCAAAGTTTGCCCTGAACCTTGAACAACTTGCAAACCCGGCCTTGCGCATCATGTCCTAAAATTGCTGTGGAGAGCACAAAGATAGGTGCACCTCCCAGACTTCCGCGTAGACCCGGCCAATTCTCACCAGGAGAGTTCTAAAGCCCGGTCTTATGAGATCATGTAGGGTATATGATGGAGTTATTCATTTTGTACGCTTTTTGGGTCTGGGCTTGCGATTGAATCACACAGGAAATAGTGTGTTTTCAGGTTTCCTATTGAAATGCAGAGGAAGAATCTTCCCATGAACATACAGAGGAAATAGAGCTTTTCTTGAGAAAATGCAAAGGAAATGGAGGTTTTCCTGATAACACATAGCTAAATAGACTATAGAGGTTTAGAACGACGGATAGAAAGAACGCAAGAAAGAAATAATAAACAAACAAGAAATAAAGAAAGACAAAAGAGAAAGCAAACACTAACACACTATTCAAGCCCCAGACCCAATAGCAAACAAGGTAAAACAACGCGGCAAAATGTGCGACACAATTCCTGGTCCTATCTTACTCATGAACAGGTGATGCCTGCCAGTATAGTGCAAGGAACTCTCCTGATGAGCACTCGAGTTTCGTTTCACAGCCGCATTTGCAGAACTTCGGCGTTTCACTTGAGTTCAACCTGGCAGCTAACATTAGCCCCATTGCTCACTTCACCCTCTGACCTCAGCGTTCACAGATAAGACCACACTCACGCATGAAAGATAGACCGCATGTGTATACGAGAATCCTGCCCGTTTTTGGGAAGAGCCTGCCTTGTGTTCTCAGGCCGATAGTCATACCAAGATTGTGTACGTTGTGCTCGTCTGCCTTTCTGCTGCCCCCAGTTGCTCTCAAAGCACATGGCTGCGGGCCTTGAACTCACATGCAAGAGCCCTTGTAAAAAAAAGTGCGCAGCGTTTCCATGCCAAGTGGAAGCCGGGACGGGTGAACGGAAGCGTGTGGGCAGGGCGTTCCTTTTTGGTTTCTGCGCACATCCTGTGCTGGAACCCTCTCTTGGACGCCAGAACGACCCCTTGCAGCCCCTTGGAGCCATGCCAGGGAAGACTTGTGCATGGCAAGGGAAGTGCTGCTGGACATTGAGTTGCACGATCTGGAGTGATGGATGTAGATCTCATCAACTGTGAGCAGTCGTTGCCATTGGAAAGACTACCCAAAAACACCTTTCCTGACCTGAATCCGAGCTGCAGGCAGATCCCGGCACAGGCCTGGTTCATGCAGCCGCTCTTCACGCCACGGCCCCACACCTCCCGAATGCACCGCGCAGAAACACGCAGCTCTGCACGAAAAAAACGGTCTGCGCAAAGCAAAGAGACTTAGACTGACGCTCTTCTCTTGAAGTGTCCGCGAAGCGCCTCGGCCTTTTACTCGAGGTGCGCGATCGGCGGCATCCTGCCCTTCGGAGCCGTTTTCACGGAGCTTTTCTTCATCATGCCCTTCGGAGCGGCAAAAAGTGCAAGCGGCAGCAGCTTCAAAGCAGCCGCGGTGATGGTTGTAGGGTTGCTTTTTGCTGATGAGTACCACATGTGACCGCTCGCAATGACGGGCTGCAAATACGCAGGTCGTCTCTGTGGCAGCATCAGTTCTACTACCTCTTTGGTTTCCTGGCGCTGGTGCCCCATTCTGCATGAAGTTGCTGACTTGAGGTCCGTGCCCCGAATCAAGCAAAACCACAGAAGATGCGGCTACAGAATCATGTTGTGGTAGTTCGTGTGGGCTCCGTGAGAACGTTTTCTACTGACAAAGCTCAGGCGAAGTCTGAGGTATACGTAGGCGGCGTGTCCAGCCCGCAGGTGCTTGTCATTCTGCTGATCACGTGCGCGGAGATCTCGATCGCGTGCATCACTTACATGTTGACTGCAGGTGCAAAGAGTGTGCCTCTCACCTCTGGCAGCTTCTACACAAAATTGGTCGTCACTTATCTGAGGCTGACGTACTTTCAGCTAACGGCCGAGAACTACAACTGGTGGTGGAGGCAGGAGTGAGTTTTTGAAGTGGCAAAGTGCCTGGCTGCGGATTGTGCATTGTCGACTGCAACATGTTGCAACTTCACCATTCCCATCTTCATTCCCCGCCTCCCCGCATCTCCGTTCTCTTCCTCTTGTTTTCCTTTTTGTTTTTCTTCTCTCTCTCTCTCTCTCCCCCGAGTAGCATTCAAGGCAGGGCAGGAGAGAAAGCGTGAAACATGCTCATCATAGCTCTTTGGCGTGACGGCTCTCTCGAGGATCGCACCGATACTCTTGAAATGAAGGAGCTCCAAAAAAGATGGTGAGAAAAGGGAGCGAAGGCGGTTTTTCACAGTCTGGTCACCAATATGTATTGACAGGGTCAGCTCTCATGGCGGCGTCTGGTCTGGATTCCAACTCCGGACAGGAGACTCATGAACTGCGATGTGGTTAGGACCGATGCAGTTGCAAACGGATGCTCTGGCATGGACTTTGTCATGGATCCGGCATGGATGCTCTACGATGCTCTGATCGCTACCAAAAGAGTCTCAGAATTCCCACTGACCCAAAAAAGCAACGCTGCGCATACATGCCCAGGCTGGCCTTCAGACAGTTTTTAAAGTGTTCTGAAGGTTTGCATTCTTTTCTTTCATGGACACGGCAAGCACAGGCAAAAAAACTGTGGTTTTGCAAGGGGCGCTGATATTCGTGATTTGCAAACTGACATCTGTAGCATAGTTCGTTATGCTGTTGAAGGGCATGCCGTTCAGCTGCAAATTAATGCGAAGACAGCGCAAAAGTAGGTAGACTTCACAAGTTTCCGCGGCATGGAAGTACTATACAGACTATATCGTACTGTATGCAAAGCTTTGGAGGTCCTTCTTGGCCAGCGGATCGTCTGCTGTCTACGCCTGCCGCTGAGACTCCGTGCCCAACAGTCAGTTCAATTGTTTTGAGTCAGTTTAACTGAGTTTAACTGAGTTTAACTGAGTTTAACTGAGTTTAACTGAGTTTAACTGAGTTTAAGTGAGTTTAACTGTGTTTAAGTGAGTTAGCTGTGTTTAATTGACTTTAACTGACTTCACTTCTCTTTGCTTGAGATGGGCATGCTGCAGGTTTTCCTCTACTCGATGATGTACTTCAGCAGCCGGCTGCAGATCGACAAAGTGGCAATCCCTGCAATGTTGGACGATGCTGTCACCCACTGGGCAACTGATGGCAGCTGTGTAGTGAAGATGGCATACGCGTGAAAGTCTGTCGAATCATCAGCTTCGCCGCTCATGCCGACAGGGAAAACCCTGGAAAACGAATGCCGACAGGGAATTTGTGGACGGGGTTCGACGGACCAAGCAGTTCCTCAACAAGACTCAAGAAATATGCATCACTGCCTGAGTTCTCGGACAATCCTTGAAGGCTGGAGGTTCTTTGTTCTTTTCCCATATTTTCGAGTGTTTTGTTTTGTTTTTGTCTTTTTATTGGTTTTAGTAAAGTGCGACTAGAAATGAAGGGTTCCCCAAAATTTCTTGTGATCCTTGAAATCAATACAGTGGCAGTTCGTGGGATGTGATTCCCTTTTCGAAGCTGGTCTCGGTCACCGGGATGCGTTATCGACAGAAGCACATTCTGTGGGTGTCAGCACAGGAATGTTCAATTGCATGTTGTCGGCAAAGCGTATGTAGCAGCGTCTACTTTACTTGGGGAACCGCTGATTGTTGTGACTTCTTACTGTGCTGTTTTCCAAGAAATGCCATTCTTGGCATATGCTGCTCATACTGTACCTGTTTTGCGTAGCGTCTACTTGGTGAAGCCAGTTTGTTACAACCCTCGCACACACGTCATAACTGTGCATCTGTTTGCGCGAAAACTTCCGCTGTTGCTATTGTGGTCTCCCGCTGTAGGACTAAAGTTTTGTCTTCGGGGGACTTGGGGATTCCTGGGGTCTCGCGTGGTTCTTGATGCGAAATCAGTGGCGTAAGTGCTGGTTGGGGTTTCGTCGTGGCCTGGGTTTTTGGAACTGTTGGCTAAGCCGAAGGCGGAGGTCTCAGCCGATGCACCCTGGGTAGGGAGAGCCAGGAACCACACTCAGATCATCCCTGGCGATGTCGATCCAACCCGTGGGGGTTGATTATCCATGCGTAAAACACTGGCACTTACAGCGTTTTTGCCTCTTCATACAACATGCTGCAAAAGGCTCTTTGACTGCTTCTGGAACACGACGCTCTTGCACAAGCCTTTCGCGAAGCCCACTGGAATTTTCTTCTTTTGCTTCTTTGACTCTTTCTACATGCCAAGCCCTCACAAAATGCTGCCGAAAGCATCCCTAAACATATATTGCGCGGACATGCCCAAAACATTGGTGCGTTTTTGCGCGGAGACGTGTGCTCAGAAGAGGCGGACGAAAAAGTCGCGAGCTTAATAAGCCCGAGTCCCTACATGCACTACAGCAGCCCCAGCCCCCATGCACGAGCTACGTGACGAGGTGGCGCCTGTGCAGCGGACCCCATGTAGTGGCCTCCGCAAAAAGCATCTGCTTTTTCGGTATGGCAGGTGTCTACGTTCCTGTACTTTGGGTACATGGCCATCATGTCGCTGCTTTTCGGGCTGCTGACTGGTTCTATTGGCCTGCCAGCGCCTTGGATGTTTGCATCTGCCCTTATACCTGGCGCCTCTGGTTCACTCCCGTAGTGAAGCAGGGGGCTTTCCAGGGGGCCCGTTATGGGCCCTTTCTGCAAGATCCCAGAACTTGCCTTGCCATGAAAGTGAAGGAACTGTCCAAGAAGGCCCACGGCTTTCAGTAGCATCCAGTTTGCAACTGCGGAAAGTCGGGGCGAGTTGCGCGCATCTCGTAGTTGAAAGAGCAGCCTCAGGATCTCGTCCTTCTTCTTCGTGAGGCTGGACTTGGGTAGGGATATGGCAGGTAGCAAACATGCATCCTCCACACGTGCAGGATGTGTGACCCAGCATCTCTGGTTTTTATATGTAAATCCTGGGAAAGCGGACGGTCACAGCAAGCGTGTTGCTCACCTGAGGACCATCTACGGGTCGATCAAGGTGGACTGAAGCTCTGAAGCTGGGGCTGAGAACAGCAGGCTTTCGAAGAAGGAGGGACCGCCGGACTCGGACATAATCTTCCGAGAAGTGTGCCGCAGGTTGGTCAATGTCCTGCTTCGAAGCCTTTCCTGGCCGAAACCCTGTTCATCTAGAGTACATGACAAAGCATCCGAATTGAACTACTGACAGGGTTTCTACGTTAACGTTCGGAGGCAGCTGCTCGCCAGATGCGCGGCTCGCATGGGAGAATTCATGAAGTGATGAAGTGCAGGGCAGAGAAGGAATTCTTTGCCCAAAGAAGATTCCCGACAGCTGTGGTTAACCATGTAGGATCTAGAACATGTTGATGTGGAAGTCTAGTGGTTGGATGCTGGGCCAGGGAGGCACTGCACTTTGTGTGCAACATCGTGGTGGTAGACAGTTGGCATAGGTGGTACAGAACCTCTGCGACACCTGCGCGGTGCTATCAACTTGCCTCATGTGCATGCTGCGACCGGCGGAGCAGAGCAGAGCGGGATGTGCAAGCATGTTGCTGACATGACGCGGCGAGTGAAGCGCCCTGCCAGCAGTCAACTGCGCATGGCTCACAGTTGCTAGGAGTTTCGGGTCAGGGCAGCATTCTGCCGGAGCCAGCTGCAGGCGAGGGCTTGTACCCGGAGTCACCCCGACAACTGCAGAAATTGCCCAGGTGGCTCCGGCTTAGGTTCGAGGCTGATCTCCCAGGTAGCAGATGGTTTTACCTTGGGGGCTAGTTTCGAAGTTCGAAGCCATGGTTTTTGTCTTCCATGGCAAAGTCGGGCATGAACCGATGAAGTGCAAGTAAATTTAGCTAGATGGTAAGATGCTTGCGAGACACTGCGAGGCCCTGGCCATCAGCGGAGCAACGCGGTGTTGCATGACCGCGGGAACGAGGCACGCTGTTCGCTAGCATATCGTACCTTGCACACCCATTGCAGGACTAAGAACATCTGAAGTCGCTGAGGTTTATCCTGTTCCTTACAGTTCGAATCTTGTGATTAGCACATGTGGTTGCCATGGAAGACACCTTCCTGTGAGAGATTCGCGCAGCATGGAGCCAAAGACAGGCCAACACATGTCAATCTGAGTTGGGTACATCTCGGCATAAACGTGTGGAGCGCGAGGCGACCAATTCTTCAGCATTGAGCGTTTGACTGGCTTTGCACGGTCGGGGGGGACACTATTCAGCAGCCGGAGGATTGGAAAGTGGGCGGAGGGCACTTTGGATGAACGCCATCCGTGCTTTTTTACTTGATGAAGACGGCGCCCCCTGCTGCTGTCATGGCTCCGACTGCTGTCGCCAGACGTGATGCCCACGCAAGAGCTCAAGCTCGTTGCAATGACCAGGTGTCACATGACTAGCTGCGAAACCGTTGATCTTTGGTAGGTGTCTGCTGCAGTGATCTGGGACGCAGACATGCCACACCCCCAGAATGGCTGATTACTGTTGATTAGTGGCGAACCTCAACGGCTGCTGAATGAGGCGCTGGTGTGTGTGTGTGTGTGTGCGTGCAGATCGCATGAGTGCCACGCCACTGCTTCAACCGAGGTCGGCGCCAAATGGTGACGCCACAGGGGTCACAGGACACGAGTTGAGTCTTGGTCTCGGCACGTCCCGGAGCTCGCAATGGGAGTGGTGTCAGAGCATTTGCTGACAATCCCCTCCAAGACTTAGGACAAAGCCAGGATTCGACCTCGAAGTGTGGCGCCCAATTGTTTGGTTTTCTGTGCCTTAAAGTACGTAAAGCAAAGGCACCTGCTCAAGCCGACTTCTGTCAGAGAGTGCGAAGAGAAACAAGCATCCGTATAAGTTCCATTTGGCTTCAAGCTTTCATGGAACGAGGGGGACACTTCTCGATACTACTCGCACCTCTCGTACCTGCCAAGCATCTGCTTGATGAGGGAGCCGCCGCCACCATCAGTGGCCAAGTCCGTCCGCGCGACGTTAGCCCGGCACTGAGGCACCACAGCGCGAGCTCCCGCAGCAAGCTTTATCCAAGCTGCCAGCGTCAACTGATTCTGTCGAGTTGAATGTCAGAAGTAGCTTGGAGATCCGGTTGCTTCCGTCGGTTGAGCTTCGAGGCGAGCCTCGACTGGCCACCGCCCCCAAGTCCCGCCACACTGCTGCGACCGAGCAGTGCCAAACCTGGAGGGGTATGGGACGTGCAACAGGATGCAAGATCATGTAAGCTTGGATAGACGGGACAGAGCTTCCGCATAGCAAGAACAGGAGAATATGAGGGCTTGAAGCACACCCTGCTGTATGCGGGGTTCCGTAGAGGTTGTAACACCGCTTGGCCATTTGGCTCCAGCTTCACTCACTGAGTTATCGAATCGCGTAGTTAGGAACAGCTTTTGCAGCAGAACGTCGTCGCTGCTTTGCTGGACAGGAGGATTGGTGAGGTGAGTCAAGTGTTATGGTGTTACGTGTCCCAGCCACTGAATATTGGACAGCGCATTCTGATAGTTTTTGCCAAGACCTGACGGAGTTTCTGTTCCCAGTCCATGAGCCTTCAATTGGACTCGACCAATGTGTTCAGAGTAAGGAAAACGATGGTACCACAGCCGGAACTCACTCAGGAACAGCCGCTTGGCCTTACAGTGCTTCATATGAAGCGAAAAGTCCAAGTTTCGTTTCCTCTTTGCTGCTACAGGGTTGGGCAGCTGCTTGTGACAGATCTCTGCAAGGATGCTGTGGTCGCAGCAGCAGCAACAGCAGCAGCTTCAGCAGCAGAGGGCCAGGTACCCGGATCAGTGCTGCGCGACGCAGTTGCAAAGCCCTAGTTATGAAAGGGCAGCTGTAGGCCAGAGTGCACTTGCAGAAATTTGGCAGTAGATTCAGATGCCAAGGGCTGGCGGTCGCAGCAGCAGCCCCAGCAGCAGGTCGTCATCATGGTACCTGCAGATCCTTGGCAAGATGAATATGATGAATATGTACCCCGCCAGTGCACCCCTGTACTCAGCACAGGGCGGAGAATGCGGGGGTTTGCGGGGCAAGGCTGCCAGTGAGGAGAGAGGAGTAATGAGTATAAGGACGAGTAGGAGGTGAGCGCATCTGTGCGCGTCGCCCAAGCAAGAAGCAAAGAAGGGTAGGATGCGGTAGGATTGGGATTGGGCTGCAGGCGGCTTTGCCTTGTTCGTGACCCCAGCTCAGTGGGAGAGGGGTCATTTTGGAACGCGCAAGGGAGTCATTTTGGAACGCGTAAAGGGGTCATTTTGGAACGCGTAAAGGGGTCATTTTGGAACGCGTTTCTCTTGTTTTAGTACTGTTTACAAGGGATTTCTGGTTTCAATGGTTTCCTTGGTTTCCTTGGTTTCCTTGGTTCCCATGGTTTCCTTGGTTCCCATGGTTTCCTTGGTTCCTATGGTTTCCATGGTTTCCGTGGTTTCTATGGTTTCTATGGTTTTCTATGGTTTCCTTAGTTTCCTTGGTTTCCATGCTTTCCTTTGTTTCTGTGGTTTTCATGGTTTCCGTGGTTTCCTTGGCTTGTGTGGTTTCCATGGTTTCCGTGGTTTCTATGGTTTCTATGGTTTTCTTGGTTTCCTTGGTTTCCTTGGTTTCTTTGGTTTCTACGGTTTCCATGGTTTATATGGTTTCCATGGTTTCCTTGGTTCCTTGCTTCGTGGTGTCCATGGTTTCCTGGACTTGTGTGGTTTACATTGTTTCCCTGGTTTCTATGGTTTCTATGGTTTTCTTGGTTTCCTTGGTTTCCTTGGTTTCTATGGTTTCTCTGGTTTCTTTGGTTTCCGCACCCTGATTTTAAGCCGTGCAAGCTTGCTTCAAAGCATATGAAACTTTTTTTGAAACCCATCATGCACGCATTGTGTTTGCAAATGGGGGGGGGCTGCGCCCCCCCCAACCCCCCCGCTTTTTTTAAGCCGTGCAAGCTTGCTTCAAAGCATATGAAACTTTTTTTGAAACCCATCATGCACGCATTGTGTTTGCAAACCCCCCGCTTTTTTTAAGCCGTGCAAGCTTGCTTCCGAGCATATGCAACTTTTTTTGAAACCCATCATGCAAGCGTTGTGTTTGCAAATGGGGGGGCTGCGCCCCCCCCAACCCCCCCGCTTTGTTTAAGCCGTGCAAGCTTGCTTCAAAGCATATGGGTTGCGTTCAAAATTCGCGTGTCTGCTCAGTTACTTTAATTTACATTAATTGGTTTGGCCGGTCTATTTTCATGTCTTTGCTATAAGGCGGCACCGAGGGGGATCCCCTAAAACCCCAGTGTGGCGCTAGGAAAACGCTAGGTTCGCGCTAGGTAAAATCAACAAACATTATTTCAAATTTCGCATGTCACCACTAAGCGAACCCAACAGAGATTGATTGAGAAGGCCCAGCCAGGCGCACCACCCGAAATATGCGTACAACATCCGGGGTGGTGTAATAACCCCGCGCCTCTTCGTTATGAATTGACGGGGCCCTGTTGCCAGGGGATAGGGGTTTTTTCTAGGAAAAGCGATGACAAGAAAGAAACGATATTCTTGTTATACTTGGTACATGTGCTGCTCCTGGCTTGTTTTCGTCGTTCATTACGTCGTGGTATCAGATCTTGGAAAATCCGGGACAGTGTTTTGCGTTAGCGCCGCGCTAGCACGGCGCTAGCAAAATGTCAACGCAAACTCCCCCGGCAGACCATGGCCCATTCACACCATAGAACCGATAGTGCTATGCTTGCTGGAGCTCGAGCCCCGCAAGTGGCGACAGCGGAGAAACCTTCGCTCGCGCCAGAACTCCAGCAGCAGTATGTAGCAGTAACACTAGCAGTTCTTGTGACGACTCGTCCGACAGCAGCGCCTGAAAAATGGTCCGCGCTAGCACCCTTTCTAGGAAATCATGCTTGGATCCTTCAGATGTCGCGTGTGCTACTCCATCTCAATCAGCTTCTTTTTCCTTCAGGACATAAGGCGGCACCGAGGGAGTTCCGATTTAACGTCAATTTCGGGAACAAGCATTTTGACAACAACCCAATATGAAACTTTTTTTGAAACCCATCATGCACGCATTGTGTTTGCAAATGGGGGGGGCTGCGCCCCCCCCAACCCCCCCGCTTTGTTTAAGCCGTGCAAGCTTGCTTCAAAGCATATGAAACTTTTTTTGAAACCCATCATGCAAGCATTGTGTTTGCAAATGGGGGGGGGCTGCCCCCCCCCCCCCAACCCCCAACCCCCCCGCTTTTTTAAGCCGTGCAAGCTTGCTTCAAAGCATATGAAACTTTTTTTGAAACCCATCATGCACGCATTGTGTTTGCAAATGGGGGGGGCTGCGCCCCCCCCAACCCCCCCGCTTTTTTAAAGCCGTGCAAGCTTGCTTCAAAGCATATGAAACTTTTTTTGATGCATTTTACAATGCATTTTTGCGCATTCGCAACTTCGTCCGTGCTTTTTACAGTACGTTTTTGCGCATCTGCAAATGCGTTCGTGCACCCTCTGCGGGGATCGCGGGTGTCGAGATGCTGTTTACAGTGTGTTTTTGCGCGTTTGCAAATGCGTTCGTGCACCCTGTGCGGGGATCGTGGGTCTCGAGATGCTTTTTACAATGTGTTTTTTTGCGCATTAACAAATGCGTTCGTGCACCCTCTGCGGGGATCGTGGGTCTCGAGATGCTTTTTACAGTGTGTTTTTACGCATTTGCAAATGCGTTCGTGCACCCTCTGCGGGGATCGTGCGTGTCGACATGCGTTTTACAGTGTGTTTTTGCTCATTTGCAAATGCGTTCGTGCACCCTCTGCGGGGATCGTGCGTGTCCAGATGCTTTTTACAGTGTGTTTTTGCGCATTTGCAAATGCGTTCGTGCACCCTCTGCGGGGATCGTGGGTGTCGAGATGCGTTTTACAGTGTGTTTTTGCGCATTTGCAAATGCGTTCGTGCACCCTTTGCGGGGATCGCGGGTGTCGAGATGCGTTTTACAGTGTGTTTTTGCTCATTTGCAAATGCGTTCGTGCACCCTCTGCGGGGATCGTGGGTGTCGACATGCGTTTTACAGTGTGTTTTTGCTCATTTGCAAATGCGTTCGTGCACCCTCTGCGGGGATCGTGGGTGTCGACATGCGTTTTACAGTGTGTTTTTGCTCATTTGCAAATGCGTTCGTGCACCCTGTGCGGGGATCGTGGGTGTCGACATGCGTTTTACAGTGTGTTTTGCGCATTCGTAACTTCGTTCGCCGAACCCTCTGCCGTGATCGCACGCGTGCATTTTTTGTTAGGCGCTGACCTATTTTTCTGCTCTTTGTGTTCCAAAATGACTCTTTCTCGTGTTCCGAAATGACTCCCTGCTGTGTTCCAAAATGACTCCCTTCTGTGTTCCAAAATGACCCCTTACCCATAGTTCAGGACCAGCTGATGCCCAACTACGGCCTCCAAGGTGACGCCGGAGGTTCTGGACTTGGGCAATTTTTTTTCGGATTTTCGCAGTGATTTCAACGGGTGGCTGAGAGTACAGCATACAAGAGCCATCGGCCAGGGCTGGCGCCGATGCAGATGCCGGAGCCACTGGGCGCGAAGTTCATGGCAATAGAATGCCATACAACATGACATAGGTGCATGTACCAGATGTTGCCAGGTTGAAGGGTCTCGAAGTATGAAGTCTATTCGAGTCGAGGATTGGCTTGAATCATCGCCTTGCGACAGAGTTCGCAGCCCGAACACGCCGAGCGTCTTTTCCTGCCTGCTTGCGCACGCAGTCACAAATCAGATGTGTGCGTGGGTGCACTCCTGGAATCCTCCATCAGCTCTACTATCGGCAGAGTTTGTCCCATAGTCTGTCCTTCACCTGAACTTTGGGGATACCAGTCACGAAGTCACGAACATCTCTTGGGCTTCATGATGCGTCAACGTGAAGAGATGGAATCCTTCAAAGGGAGGAGATGGCATGCACGTGCGCGTGCGTGCGCAAGCATGTGCGCCCACGCACGCGCGCGCGCGCGCGCGCGTTCTACGCGCACAGTTGAACCGTGCAAGTGCGTGACGGCATGAATGACCATCCAAGCGCTTTGTCCAGAGCAGAAGCTGGGAGGCATTCTAGGAGGCTCTGCGATGTTTTGGGGGTGGCTGCCTTTGCTGGCTTTGAGGTACCAGTGGTGGGGTCAGCAGCAGCAAGTCTACCAGCCCCAGGCCGGAAGACCATGCAGTGTTAAAGTTTGGCTCCCTAACGCACTAAGTGTCGCTTGTCACAGTTCGACTCTGCTGATGCAATGGCCATAGCGTGTGGCGATAGCTTTCTTCCTGCAGGAGCAGATGCCCCAACCCTTCTACCAGGCCATTCCTGCACCATCCCATCACAATAGAGCACTGTCAAACACTATCACCAGATGCGAGGACCGCGGTGTCGCCCAGGCCTACCAGCCCCCAAGTGCCAAAGCTGCGCCGGGAACTCGGACTGGACATCAGCCCAGCCATGATGGGCAGACCACGGGAACCACATGGAACCTGTCCCAACTAGACGCCAACCTGACTCACAACCCAGAATCAAGTTCTTTGGCAAAACGAATTTTGCAGCGTATGTGGTGTTTGTCGGTTACCGTGGCGCCCTATGATCCTCAATTGGACTCATTGCTGAGGTTGCCAGGGGCGTGGGCACTGCCGCAGATGCAGCCTTCACAAGTGTCAGCCTTATGGTCAGAACCGGTGTTCAGTCGTGAAGATGCTTGACAAGAAGCGGACGTTTTGCCGAGGCTTGTCCTGCATCGGTGCAGTTTCAGGCCTCCGGCTGCACGGGGGTCCGGGGTGCCGTCTTTTCCCTTAGGTCTGGCTGGTCCTGCGGTCCCCTGGTCTGGTCCTGCAGTCCCCTGGTCCCTCCCCTGCCTGGTCCAGCGGTCCCCTGGTCAACCCCCTTCCTTGTTGAAGCCGTGCAAGCTTGCTTTAAGAACAATATGAATCCGTCCCTTTCAAACACATCATGCAAACATCATGCAAACCACGTGTTTGCAACTGGTCAAATCCATCATACGAGCATTGTGTTTGCAAACGGGGGCGGCTGCGCCCCCGCCCGCTGCACGGGTCCAGAGCACCCTTCAAAGTCTCCGAGACATACGCCCTTGTCCACGGCCAGGCCGAAATAGAATCGTAGCAAGCAGCCTGAATCCTGAACCATGAGATGTGAGCCCCTATGCCCTGAACCGACCCCTACAAGATCACGTGGCTCCCCAAACGGACTCATGGTTCGATGAGTGGCAAATTTCCCAGAGACGCGTGGTGAACGGCAGCACCTCGAAATAAGATGTGAGCACCAAGAAGGAGTGTGAGTGGTATGTTCGGAAAAGCTGTCCGAAAGAGAGGTAATCCCTGTGATAAACGCTAGATTCAGAGGCAGCGGCAAACCAAAGCCGTGAAAGCAAAACCCTAAACACAGAGCCCTGGACGGTAGTGGCTTGCAGACCCCGAGGCGGCCGCCCGCGTTGTTCCAGCATCGCAAAGCGGCGTCTGAAAAACATGCTACGTGATTGGTTGCCCCTCAGGGCTTTGGGAGTTCTTCTCGACAGGTGTCTCCAGAAATGCGGCATCAGCAGATGCAGCAGATGGTGAAGCTTGGCAAGACACAGGTGACCGATGTAGCTTGCGAGAGCTACAATATTCTTCAATGATCCCACAGAAAACAGATGTCGTGTTGGAGAGTTGTTGTGGTGTCCGGCTGCAAGCTGCTGTCTTTGGCATGACAGATGCCATGCCGTAAAGCATGTTACAGCTCACTCTGACTGAGGGCGGGAAAAGCACCAGAGAGAACACCTGAACCGCCGGTGCCTTGCCGAGTCACACGGTGTTCTGTAGCCTTACTAGCATGACGGGCAACTGTCATCCTTAATGCCGCAGGTCATCTGAAGCACGGACGGTCCAGCAACAAGCTATTCTTCCTGCTGATTGAAAGTTCTACCATGTTCCACCTTTGCCTGCACGGTGCGATGCACGACGCACGAATCCAGGCACCACCGGATACAGAAGTGGTCACCGAGCCAACATCCCGCTTGGAGGCGGGAGTCGCATAGCAGCATAGCCAAAACTATGCCCGAAACACATGCTCCAAAGAGTCCGCTATGCATTTCTCGTTTCCGATTGTTCCCAAAGAAATAGATGTGTGGTGGGGGTGGGGGGGTTTCCGGAGTTCATGTTGGGCACAGGTAGTGAAGTAGCTAGGTTTCTGCTAAAGGTGCCTGCAGATGCCAACTGTGGGGGCACAGCATTCCCGACGCCACGGAGCACCGAGGTCCCTCCGGCATCTTCGCTGAAAGAAAAAGGGGTTCGCGGGGGCGAGTTAATGCCTTCATCGAAGGAATATGCATGTAAGGCATGTACTTCACACAGGTCCCGAAGGCCAGCTAACAAGCTTATCTGGAGGCTTGAAGTGTAGCGTTAAAGAAGCCGAGGACCGCAGCGACGAAGGTGAAGTGGATCGAACTGAGGAGCAGAGGTGGGGACGTTGGGAGTTGGAAGTCGTTGTGCACATGGAGGTTGTTCACGTAGACGGCGAAGGTTTTGGTGATCTTCACCCAAATTCGCCCAGCTTTGTCCTTCGCTGTATTGCAAGCGCTCGAAGCAGGTCCCGCCTCAGCGCCAGCGCTGCTCGCCGCCTCCGCCGGAAGCGCGCCGCTGAGCGCGCACAGCGCGAGGCCACGCCCAGCTGATTATGCAAGCTGCAAATTTAGTAAACTCGTTGTAAACGTTAAACTCAAGAGCCGCCGGGCATTGCAAGAGTCTTGGAAGAGTGCAGGCCGACCTCGCTCTTCCTGGTACCGCAGCAGGGCCGAGATTTCAGCATCTTTTTCGTTATGCAGCAAGCATCTTCAAACAGGAAGGTTCCCAGTTGCGACATGCGTGTGCTTATATGGTCCAGACCTGCGCGTTGACCCTGACTTTGTCCGAGATATTTCCCGAACACTGCGAGCAGCTCCGAGAGCAGCTACAGAACGGCAGTGCCCCGGCTGCTTCAAGCATGCGGTCATGGAAGTCAGGTCCTTCAAGCCCTATACAGGCCTAAACCCTAACCCCTACCTTGGCTACGGGGAGGACGCATGTGCTTTTGTGCAGGCGGAGATGTCCGAGACATCATTCGTCGCCTTCGTGGACAGGCCCCTCAGCCGCATGCGTTGGTGATGGAGGTCTATAGGGTTTAGCTTAGTGAATCCAAAATAGCTCCGAATGGGCCCGGCAACTATCTGGGGGCTGATCTCACGACTTCCAGATCTGACGATGTCTGTTGTCAAAGCATGTTGCAGTGGTCGACCAGGGAGAGCTCAACAAGGAGCCTTTCTTTTTCAACACGAAGAAACTTTTCTTTAGTTGGCAGCCTGAACTCAAAAGTCGGGTAAGTTGGTCGACGCCCATTCGCATGACCAGGTAGACATAGGTGTCGAAGCAGCCCTAGCAGCACCGGCACCAAAACATTCGGACAAACTCCTCAAGCGATCTCAAGCGTGCGTAAGATCGTGTCAGCATGCGCGTCAGCCTGCGTGTCAGCCTGCGTGAAGCTTAGGCCTAGCCCAGGACAGACCACCACAATCTTTCACCAATCTCTCAACCCCGCCCCTTCCCGACGACGGGAACGCACCAACCTCCAACTCCCAAGGCCCTCGAAAAAGCAGCTGCACTCAGATGAAAGGAATCAGAAAGCCAGCCTTTCAGTCACGGTTACGCATCGAGCAGCATCCTCCGGAAGAAGCCATGTAGATCCCCATGAAGCAATTGTAGAAGGTGTTTTGTGCCACCAGACCTCCAGATGCCTTCGCCGAAGTTTGAATGTGGCCTGATTGCGACTCGCAGCGACTCGCAGTATGTCGCATGTGTTGTTGTGAGGTTTGGTCGCTCTCGCGAGATGCTCATGGTTGCCGACTAGTCCAGCAGGCAAGAGGGCCGCTAGGGCCGCTGGCAAGCGGGGACTTTAGAAACGAGCGTCAGCACAGAGCTTTTCGCACGAGCGTCCGTGAATCTTCGGACATGGTCTTCAGCAGGTCCTCGAGATGGCTGGTCAGCGTGATGCCTTCGACGTGGCCAAGGAGAGCTGCGGGAATTGCCCCAAAACAGACCTTGCTGCTTAAACCATTGCAGCAACAAATGCGCATGACAGCAGAGTATAGTAGAGTTGAGTTCAAGCTGAGGAGCTGGAAGGTCACATCTTGGAGGCCGTAATGTGCCCTCACGGCAACTATGCTCCTGGGCAGCGGTCAGGGCCTGCACGAACGTCGCGAAAGTGCTCTTCAAGCTTCCCCCTCACACTCCGTCCTCCCTCTCTTTTTCCTTTGAGCCGAGGTTGTGCAGAAGATTGTGTCCCAGCTTTCTGTGTGCCTTGAATGCAAGCAAGAGTCGTTGGTCTCCGATGCGACCCAGTAGGCCCGATATTTTCTCCCCCGGCGCAACTGGGTCTTCTTTCCCAGGTTCTGGTAAGGCCCGTAGTGGTCACGCTGAAAATGGTTTCAGCAGGACAGCACAGCGGGCTTCGGTTGCTGTTTCAGTTCACCTCAGGGCCTCCAGCGACTTCGTCGTGCGAGAGCTTCAAGGTTCTGTGGTGCGAGCTGCTCTGCCGCAGGAAGGCTGTGCCGTGCTCTGACTTTGGGGCGTCAAGGCTGTCGCGGCGAGCTGATGTAGAACAAGGCGAAAGGCAACACCTCCATAATGAGCCGAGCTGCTGATTTCCCGCTACCGAGGTTGCAAAGCACCGCTTTGCTTGCCGGATCCTGTGCCGCTTGCTAGACTCTGGCCGGCACTTTAAGTTACTCATTGCATGAGCCTGAGGCTTGCAGCTATGGTTTGCTGCCTACGGCATCATGTGCATCCTGTGCAACCCGAGGAGTTCAGCGGGTCGAGTGCTCGCACGATCGAGCTCGTGGACGAGCTGCTTCAGGAAGCGGGCCCTTTGTGCCCCGGTTGCAGTGATGGCAATACCGGCCTTATGGTTTCATGGTGACGGCATCACATGGTCAAGACGTAATCGCAACCAATCTATATTCAAAAGGCCAGCAAAGAACCAGCAACTGGAATTGCCTCTCTCCCTTGCTTTCTGCGATCATGTCTTGTTACAGTCTTGTTTTGTCTGTTTACTGTTTTTATGCTTGACGCTGTTCTGAACTTCCAACAGGAAAGTCTTGGTTCTTGGTTTCCAGGGCCTGGGGCTAACAATGTTTCAGATGTTCTACACAATATAGTTTTAGCCCAGGGCCCCGGGAACCAACAACCAACATATCAGGCATTGGGTATTGGTTCGTCAGATTCCGGGGTACATTTGTTTTCCCCACTCTCGGTGTGGGGTTGTTAGATTCTAAACTCAACTCTTCTTTTCGCCTGGAACTCTTCTCCTCGCCCGGTCTACTCCTCGCTCATCCCTGGAGTGCCCAACCCCATACTGATTGAAGTGATGCGAGCATTCATAGTCGCGGTCATAGAGAGCGTCGCAAGAGTTGGCACGCAAAGTAGTGCTAACTTCTATGATGATGATAATGATGATGATGATGGTGATGGTGATGATGATGATGATGTTGATGATGATGATGATGATGTGGATGCTGATGATGATGCTGCTGCTGATGATGATGATGATGAAAGCAGATTCAGATATGATGGTGCGGGGGTTAGGCCAACGGTACTTGGAGGATCACTGGCACTCAGTAGGTAGGTTGATGATGGGGATGACTGGACCGATCATGATTTGTCTGTTCAATAAATGTGCTTACTGAGTCCCCCTGACCGCCCGAGTAGAGGTCGTAAACATGTCTAATATCGTCGTCCTCATTGATCATGACAACAACCAGCCATGAGAAGGCAACAACAGTAAAACAAACTTGTTTCTAAGTAGATGTGGGCCAAAGCGCCAAATCCTTGAGTCCAGGGCTCGGGGAGTGGACGAAAGCCAACGGCCGCGGGTGCATGATGGCTGCTGGATGTGGTCAGTAACGGGCAGAGGCTCGACTCTCGTTTGTTCGGTGTTCGACTGATGTTCGTCAAAACTCCGAGCCGTAGCATCACCACGCCACTCGCCCAGCTCATCACATGACCTCACTTGCAACATCTAGCGACTCCCATCCTGAAGCCCCGTGCCTCAACCCAGCTGGTGCGTGCCGGCGCCAACTGTTTGAACTGGGGCCCTGAAGTTTCTCCTAGGCAGCGTTGGGTTTTTAACATTAAGTTGTCACACCGTTGTGGCGTCTGAGGTTTCAATGCCGTGTTTTCGGGGTGCTCGACCTTAGGACCTTAGGTTGGAAAGTCTAGCATTCGGGCGTGGCGGAGGGTCGAGACTAAAGGGCGCGTTCATGCTTGGAGCACAATCACTGGCAAAGTTGATCGTTGAACCGTTGCATCGACACCTTCCGTTGCCTTTGGCCCTCGTTTTTTCTGCACGATGTTGAGCGAAGGTTGCTTGTAGGTTAGGTCTTGGCTATGCGAGGCTATCCATTGCTATCCAGTGATTTCGTTGACAGACAGCGTGTAATACGCAGGCCTTGCATGCCCAAAGAGTTTTTGGCCTGTCAATCACCTTGCAATCCTTCCACCCTGGAGTCAGATGACCCATGAGAAAGTGAAAGAGAAAGAAACAGAGAGAGGGAGAGAGAGAGAGAGAGAGAGAGAGAGAGAGAGAGAGAGAGAGAGAGAGAGAGAGAGAGAGAGAGAGAGAGAGAGAGAGAGAGAGAGAGAGCGAGCGCGAGAGAGAGAGAGAGAGACAGAGAGAGAGAGAGAGCAGAGAGAGAGCAGAGAGAGAGGAGAGAGAGAGAGAGAGAGAGAGAGAGAGAGAGAGAGAGAGAGAGAGAGAGAGAGAGAGAGAGAGAGAGAGAGAGAGAGAGAGAGAGAGAGAGAGCAAGTGTCCCTGGCGTGCCCAACTCGAGCGTGTCCCTGGAGTGCTTAACGCCAGTAGAGAACCCATGGCCCAACCCCAGAGTCTCCCTATGGTGCCCAACCCCAGAGTGTCCCCGGAGTGCCCAGCCCAGAATGTCGCAGAGTCTCCCACCCCAGAGTTTCTCTGGAGTGCTCCCAATTTCAGAGGCTCAACCCCCAGTCTCCCTAAAGAGTGCCCAACCCCAGAGTGTCCCCGGAGTGCCCAGCCCCAGAGTCTCCCTAGTGCCCAACCCCAGAGTCTCCCTCGAGTGCACAACCCCAGAGTCTCCCTCGAGTGCCCAACCCCAGATTGTCCCCAGAGTGCCCAGCCCAAGAGTGTTGCTGGAGTGCCCAACCCCAGAGTATCTCTACCAAGAGAGGGTGGGGATGTTCGAAATAAAAAATAATGTTAAATGCTTGTTTGTATTTGTTCTCAGGTTCTTAGAATGTTTGTTCAATGGATTGCCGTCATCAATCCAGCCAGCCCCACTTTTGCGTTCAAGTATCATACGGCAACACATTGGTTTGTAACTTAAGAATGCTTTCCTAACAGTTAACATGGTTGGATGCCAGCCATAATCCTTGAATACGTTCTACTATGTTCAAGGACGGGAAGACTGGAAGAGAACAAAGGACACTTTAGATTTTTACGCTTTTAAGATGAGGTTGCCGTCTAACAGCACCTGCAGTGTATTATGTTGACGAAATTAGGTAAGTTCTTTGGCGCTGTAGCTAGGGAAAGAACGAACTGTTAGTAACAGTCTTAGGAATTTTGTTCGTTGCCGCATTGACAATGCGGGTAATTTGATGTTAAGATCAATTAAGTTGAGCCACTTGTCGCCTTGTATGCGTACACATATTGCGTGACGTATGTGACCCACAATTTGCGGAGAAATGCTTGTTTTTATACTAACTTCTCCACCCCATGTTGAAGCTACAGTTGAAGGTCATTTTTTCGTATGTCATTGTTTGAATGGCAAGACATATTGAGAACGAAGGACAGCGAATGCAACAACCGATGCGACAAACAGCGATGGTAAAACAAAGCAGCGATAGTAAAACAAAGCTCTTATGATTGTTTTTGCATAGGGCTTGTTATAAGTGATAAGCTATATTCATTGAACTGCGAGAACAATGGCGTGAGACGATGAAATTGATCTCATTTATGACGCAACAAGAAAAACCCATCGGGCTCTGCCCTTGCTAACTAGATACTCGTTCATGTCAAATGGCCGAACTGATGGTGACATGTAGCGTAAAATCTGCGAAAGGCTTGTGCGGCTTCGTTCGCTAGTGCAATGCTGGCACTCTATGAGGATTTGCTCTGTGCTGTGAGAGAGATGTCGACTTGCAGCTGCATTGACGTCTGAGGTGTTGTCATAGCTTCGCGCACCATGTAATCCAGTCTGCAGCTTGCCACGATTTCAGCAACGTTCTGCGCCATTTTTCCCTGCAATCCCTGGACTCCTTACGATGGAGTGTGCGAGATCTGTCTCAGGTACTGGAACATGGGCTGGACAAGCACAAGGACCGCGCACACATTTCTGTGTCCGAAGTGCGATAGACAAATGTACTGACACATTTGCACACAGACAGATGTATATAGACTTCGTGGATACCCAGAAAGAAACAGTCACATGCATAGAAACGAACACATTCGCAAATCTCTCGTTTCTTTGACCACAGGCATACCATGCATGGGACTCAGTGGTGCCAGTGATATGGAAATAGGTTCAGGTGAAAAGGAAATGCGGTAGCTGTCCTTGGGTTGCAAAGTCTTGGGGTTGAGGCATTTGGGGAGAGGCTTCACAGGGTTGAGAGGCTGCAGCGACCATAGACTTGATCTAGAGAAGTTTAGATCGCCAGGGCCTGTTGGCATGTACAAGTCGTAGAAGGCTTCAACAGTTGATTGTAGAGTTCGCAGATTCAAGGCGTTCCATTGAGCTGCATCTTGTATTGATAGAAGACCCGTAAACGTAAACCGAGGAGTCCTAGGAACTTTCGGAGGGGACCCCGCCCGCAGGCCCAGGCCTGAGGGCTCTTGTCGACGAGACATCCCATCCCCCAAGCCCCGGCAACCCTGATGCGGTGGAGTTGTGGCCCCTACCCCCTTCCCTTGTCCCCCTCGACGACAACTGAACCCGCCCGCACAAGCGCACAAGACCACACAAGCTTGGCCGGAGGAGATCATTGCACAAGCTCTGAATGCGGACCCGATGAAATTCGCAACTTGGACAGCAACTCTTGAGGTCCGAGTCTTTGCTGTCGCCATCTTGCCGCATCTTGCCGCACGTAGCTCAGGCAACACACAAGAATTCCAGCTATCTCATCGAGAAAGCCCTGTGCTACTGCTCCGCAAGCGACCAGAACACGTCCCTCCGGAAGCACGCAGGGAGTTAAGCATCATGGTTGTTCAAGTTAATCGGCTGCTTGCCTATGTGACTGCAGACTGGAGGCTTATTGCACAGCTCAGCCCGCCAGAAACTCTTGTCGAGCTGCGTGGCCTGCAACAGAGCACGACATGTGCGAAGCTTTTGGATTTGCGAGTGTGGCTTTGCTGTCAGTTGGCAACACGTAGGTTTGTTGATGGTCTCGCTGCGTCAGAAGCAGTTTCGGCTTTGCTGCAGAGTTCCAGTCGTTGAATCGTCATGCGTTGCTTGGAGCGTTTAAAATTGCATGAAGATGCACCTCCTCCCGGCGACCTGCTCCAAATCTTGGAATTGTGAAAGCTCATCTGGCGGTGCGAGATTGCTGTCGATTTTGGCATTGGTCTTTGACCTGCACGACCGGAGGGGCATGGTTCGGGTATCGTTCGAATATGCAACATGAAGTGGACTTCCTCCATACGTTTTAAGATGCGGTTGAGCCGTCGCACACCTCGAAATGCTTTAACAGGAACAAGAACTGGTCCCAAAAAGCCAAAAACCTGTCACCCAGTTGTATCCGCTAGCCGCCAGCCGAAGCCCACCCTCATGCAGCTTATCGCCTGCGGACAGCGCCCCGTGTGCAGTACTCGTTTCTGTCTTGAAGTCCGTCTGCTTGGAAGCTGCCACCCGACATAGGTTGGCGTTCGCGCCATACGGTTGCTACGTGGCGAAGGCCTCCATGATCTTGTGTCGATTTGTGCTGAAGCCTGCTTGGAAAATGGTGCAACAGGTCTGACGCGTGAGGACTTGTGGCGTTTGTTCCGAAGATGAAATGAAGATGAAATGGGTGCTTTGCTTTGGTCAGGCAATCCTATCTTTGGATGACGGTCAGGTCGACAAGTTGACGACCAAGCCCCTTGTCTTTGAAAGCAGCCGAAGAAGAGCAAGATCACAGGGTGCATGCGTGTACCGATGCTAGCGGCTGTGGCTTGAGCAATGTGAGCATCCACCTGGTTAACCGAGGAAAGAACTCTGGAAACAGCGCAGGGAGCTTGAACGCCTTAGGCCGCAAGCCCAGGACACGAAAGGACATGAAGTAAATTCAAGTCCATCCCGAGTGGCTTTATCTTCTACCATGTCGTCTGAGGCACGGCCATCGTCTCTTGGAGGCCTAGTGCACGTTTTCGCTGGTGTGTGTGTGTATTCTGTATTATTTGCTATGTGTGTTTTTGTGGTGGGACCTGGCAAGTTGGTGTCCTCTTCATATCCTCTTCCGTCGAAGACCTTGGTGCAGGAGCTGGGACTGATCGATGCTGGCGAAGAGGGTGCAGAGTAGGCCGAGTAGGTGCACGGCCTAGCGGACCTGACAGCTTCTTGCTCGTGCCTGAAGTTAACTTTCGTGTGAGACTTTGAACATAATGCTGGAGTGAATCGAGAAGGCTTGGGGAAGGAAGCAAGAAGAAGTGGAAAGCTTCAAACAAAACCGAGCTGCAAAGGTGACAACGAAGTGGCGCTGATCGCCTTTGGCGGAGATGACTTACCCGCCTGAGTCGCCTGAGCACTGACCAAGCAGATGCAAAGAACATGAACTTGATCTCTACAACCGTATTTTGACTCAATCAGCGAGCTGCACAAGAGCAGGGTGGCAGCGTCATGCACGCTCTTTGAGCTCTTTGAGCTCTTTGAGCTGGATGAGCTTCATCCTTATCCCTTGCTTTGGTCATGGCTCTCTGTAGGGAGAGACAGGTTCACAACCACTGCAGCTCCTGTGGCTTAGCCGACGGTAAAGCATCCATGAACGGATGAGGCAAGTCGTGGAATCTTGCTGCTGTCAGCTGGTTGGAAGACCTGTTTCACCACACGTTTTACAGTCTTGTACGCTCACTCTGAGGTGAGCAGGCGCAATGTCCCACGATGTCCCATGCAACATGCACGGGTTTGGTTTGCGGCATGCTATATGACTCAAGTTGACACGGGAAGTATAATTATGATAACGATGTATGTGTTAGAATTTGTCATCAGGAGTTCCATTGCAAAATGACCAAGACGGGCACCTGTTAACGGTCGGTACCGCAGCACCTGCAACTCGAATAAAGTGTGTGTGGGTGTATGTGTGGGTGGGTGGGTGGGTGGGTGTGTGTGTTCGCCGAGGCGCGTTCGGCAAATCAAAGCCTTGGAGCCGATTGCTGTCGCATGAAATGCCAACTTCCGCGATCCTAGTCCTAGACTTTAGATGCAGGTGCGGTAGTAATCAGAGGCGATGTGGCCACTCACCTCGTGGGACTCGTGAGCGACTGAGAGCGGGATGAGCGGCGGCCGTATAGCGTTTTGCAGTGGGAGACTGGGTTCATTGTTGTGAGCAGTCATATTAAGTCATATTATATCATACTGTTCGCAACCGGATGCTTCAGCACGGCCGATAGCTCAGACCGACGGAGTGCATGGATCAGAACAACCTTGGGGCCAACAGAGGAGTATGGCATGGGGCCGTTTTCGGTTGCACAACGCCGGACGGACCTGGACGGTGTGCTCCCGTGCCGCTCCAGGCTCTGGATGTTCTGCCTAGACTTTCAGTGACCTGCCGGAAGTTTCTCATTCAGTATGTGTTCGCAGGACGTTGCGCATTAATACGCCCCTTTTTGTGTGCCCATGTGCCGCTTTTCTTGCGGAGAGTGTGGAGTCACTGCGATACCCCGTTGGAGGTGAAACCAAAGTTCCAAGCCCGTTGTGGCGAAAACGCGTCGGACGACGTTGCGCCGAAGTGTCCGGTGTGGGACCGGCCCTTTTGTACAGGCAAGCGTCTGGTTCTTCTGCGGCCTTTTGCTTTTACCAAGTATTCCTTCGATCTGCAGGCGGGTTCATGACAGAAATAGTAGTGCCATGTATAGCCCTACAGGGCCTACAGTACTCCAGCAACATGGGTCTGCTGGCTAGGTCGAGGCAATCGAAGGTCTGGGTGCCTTTGGGATGGCCTGGGGGAATCTGGGAAGCTGTACAACATTGGCATTCTACAACCAGCAGGGTTGGACATTTTGGACTATTTGAGAAAAGTCCCTTTCTCCTCTCGGATCCTCAAATGCATCGGTTTGGTTTGACTGCCTTGCGTTGTAGCGATATCGCTCCGCGGACAGAAAGTGTGCTGGCAAGTGCGAGCCAACAAAAGAGCCCCAGGAGCTCTTAAGCGCCACAGGCTCTGGCAGACTGTGGCAGAATCTTCTCGAGCTGGCGTGGTGCACGATGATGGACCCACACAGTGTTCGGCTCGGTGCAAGCACGGAGCAGTCAGTTGGTGTCGTCGCTAGCTGCTAGCGATTTCGAAGCTCATACGTGGGGCTACGTGCTCGAAGCGCCCAACCTGAACTCTGTGAATTTTAAGAGACTGTTCCAGAGACCCGCTTGGCAGAATTGGCATTCGGCCACCCGACATTGGCAAAAGGACTCAAAAAAGGTAGCTTTCCGTCAGCTGCAGAGGCAAGCATACAGTGCTGAAATCCGAGTGGAAACACATCCAACGTGGAGCCGCCCGTCCACGGTCCACCCATTCCACGCTTCTCACATATCTTTACAATTTGAGTTGATGCGGGGGCCTTGCGTGTTGCGTTGTTCTGCTTGATTTAGGTAGTGCAGCGGTGGACCTCAGCCGATCTCTGGGTTCACTGGTGCAGCGCTCAATGATTGCTCAGATGCGCGGCAAGCCTGTGTTCGCATGATGTCGCATTCTCTGCATGCGCTTGCAGCGCACGGCGGCGTGAAGTCCCTTTGCTGAGGGCTTGGGTACTGCCGGTCCAACACCGGCATTTACAGAATCCCAGGTCCGGTGAATCCTGTTGTGTCACCAGCAGAGTCAAAAGTGTCAAACCATTTTCCTTCGGGTCATTTTGAGTTTGTTGGTGCCGAGGACTCGCTGTTGACACTTATGGTCTCAACTTGTGATGTGAATTGCAAGTGTCTGGTGAGGGGTTGCAATGCAGGCTGCTTTAAGGGCCAATGAGCTCGCCAACAGAAAGGACTCTTGAGAGTTGAATTCTTGGCCATCATGTGAACAACGACCTCCTTCGCCTCATCTTTTGCCTCAGGAGCTTTGGAATTTGCGCGCCGACATCGAGAAGGAGAAGCTGCGCACCTTGGCGACACTTCGAAAGGCTTTCGACGGGCCGAAAGGGCAACTCTGAGGTGTGCTGACGCTCGAAGGTGCATGCCGGATGGTGCCGGATGTATCGGATTGCAGTGTAGCAGTGTATCAGCTTAGTTTATCATGAACATTCGGCTCTGCTCCTGATACGAGTTGTGAGGCTGCAGAGAGGTCGAGTCAGGCAGAGTAATGCCAACAGAAAGGTCACGTGGCTCCATTTCCTTTTTTCGGACGGGCGATGCGCTTCCAGGACTGATCTCACAATCATGATCGTTGCTGCATGTCAACTGCATCTATCCTTGCCTGGAAGCCCGAAATCCTTCGAAATGCAACGTTCTCCAAAGGACAAGTTTGCGGCGCTTCAGATTACTGATGATGGTCGCTTTAGCTTCTCAGACTGTGCAGTGCTGGCATCGCTCATGCTTGTATATCCCAACAATTTTTGGAATGTTCGTGTGATGCCTGCTTCGATCACGGCGCATGAGCACAGCTTCTGTACACAGTCCAGGGTGCAGTTCAAGGCTTTGAGGGGGCTTGTTGTATCCTGCTGCAGCTAACACTGCAAACCGTAGCTGATCAGAAGTGGCGCCACGGACCGCAGACCCAAGTTTTCTGCCTCGGGGTGCACTCTGTTTGACCTGGATGTAAGACGAGAGTTAGGGATTCAACGCCATGACTACAAGGAGTACAGGCCAAGCAGGCTTTACACTACATTCCGAGAGGTCGATGTTCGGGGGAGATGAGGGATGATGAGGGGCTCGAGTCCCTCCCCAGCTCAGGCTACTCCTTTGTGGGCTTGAACCACGAGGCCCCTTCGTGCTTCACACTCTGCGGACTCCGTTGACTTCGTATGTCGGACGCACCTGCGGATCATAGAAAAAACCTAGTATGTTCATGTTGAAGCAGAAGACTTCTTGCATGGCCCGCAGCCTACAACTCTTGCCGAAAGCGGTCGTGATTGCGCTTCTCGCGGCCGTGGCCATGGCTTCCACGTCACCGTCTTTCCCTCCAGAGCGCCTTGCTGCGGCAGCCACACCAGTGCTGAAGGCCGCTGTGCACGAGAAGTTGAGGCACGGATTGCAAGTTGCAGCAATGGCCGGGGCTCAAGACGGACTTGGCAGCTTCTTGGCACATGCCATGGCATGGGGTGAATTCAGCAGGAAGGTGTGCGACTCTAAAAAGCAACTCCATGTTAATCCTCCCCCCCCCCCCCCCGGTCTCATTCGCCAGGCTCTGCGGAGGGTTGGAAGGACTCGGCGGCTTGACATCGGTCCAGTTCCGGCCCTTGCGGAAAGAGGCCAGGGGACAACTTCTGGGAGGCATATCGGTACTCGTACTTTGTGGTTCAAGAGGATCACAGGCTTGGAGCTGCCACATCCCAGATTTCATGGAGCGATGCATCAGGACCGCAAAGAACTTGAGCAGCTTCACCACGAGTGGTTTCCTGCCTGGGGCCTCGGTGTATAGTTTGGTCTCAGCGTGCCGAGGTCTGTGTCTCACGAGCAATAGCTCCTCGAGCGAGGACTAATGTTGCACCTGGTTTTGTCGGGGCCTCCTCTATAAAGTCAATTTGGCTCAGGGTTATTCAATGTTATTCAGTACCCACCCTGACTGGTTTGGGGGTGCGCGGCGGGATCCTTTCAATTAAGTCAAATCGTCCGGGCGCCGAGAGTTCCACACGCCGCGCCTTTAAAACAGATTGCCGGGCATCGCTGCCCCTTTTTAACTCCACCCAATTAAGATCATATAAACCCCCGGGACCATGTAAAAAGAAGCAAATCCAGCCTCGACTGTTCAGGGGAGGGGGGGGGGGCCACAACAGTAAAGAGGGTACAACAAACGATGGGAGCTGCATGAACCCATCTCAGCGTCACAGGAATCCATTTAAGCAGTACAAACCCCAGAAGTTGAAGAAAGGCCGGTATAGTACCAGGCCGACAGTTGTGGAAAGCGGGTTTTTGTGGGAGGGCGCGGCTCCGCTAGAGGTCACCTGTCGGATTGATAGATTTTGATCCTTACTGCGAGGAGAGAAAGCACTAGTTACGAACTGACTCGCAATCCTGACTGCAAGCACAGCCGCAAAGTCCGACATACCTTGACTGAGCTAGCAGCAGAGAGCTCGTAAGGAAAAGTGCGCCGTCAACCAACAGTCAAGTTGACCAGTTCCTGTACCGGGTGCCGGATTGAGAATGGCTACAGCATCTGAAGTCGACGTTAGGAGCCATAGCACGAGTCCCCAATGAGGTTGAGTATCCAGCCAGCTTCTACGATGAGGCGCTGGAGTTTTCTTATGTCATGGGGGGGATTTTTGACACAGGCCTGGCATGTCCCGTTGCGGTCCTTGGCGGCTTGCTTGGGGCGTTGAGTCAGGTCTTCCAGAGTCGCACTGTTCAGAGCCTTGCTGCCGTGGCTGGCGACTTGCTTCTGGGCGCAGCTACGTTTCGCACGACCGCGGTCTGGGTTGGGATTGGTACCTGCCATGTCTCTCCATCCAAGCTCTCACTCCCGGACCGTCAGTCGTACACTACTTCGAAGTAGAGTGAAGAGTAGCTTCAAAAGCCCATGGTTAGGTATGGAGTGGAGTTTGGGAATGGACACTAGGAAACCCAAGCCCTCAACCCAAACATTGCAGCTCTCAACTCTCAACCCAAGAAATTTACTGAGCCCTCCAGGTTTCTGCCCGTAGCTTCGGTGAAAATCGTAACCAGGTAAAGAGCAAAATGTGGCGGACGCATGCTAATCGAGGTAACAGACTTGGAGCACATGTTTTCCAGGCTGCAGTCAACAATGCTGTATTCATCATAAACCTTAGATAAGAACAATCAGAACAAGAACAACCACAGCATCGTAACGCTATATTGCTAATATTTGTTAATCGTAAGCGCGCGATAATTGGCAGCCAGACCGCCCGAGCCAAAACGCAGATGCCGCTACCACCACTGCGACCGCCGCCCCATCGCTGTCCGATGCCTAGGAACTCCGAAATTCCCCATGGCCCTTGGGAAGGCTTAGGCTTGGGAAGGCTTGAGAGGCCTCTGGGAGGCCTTTTGGAAAGTCTCTAAGAACAACAGGAGGGTTCAGGGAGAAAGGAACCACTGGATACCAGCTGCCGCCCATGCACCGCGGAGCCCGACTGTGCCCCGAGTGTATTGTTGTAAATGACACAGGCACCGTGAAAAAACTCAGGATGCAATTTCTTCCCCCCCCCCCCCCCCGTAAGAAAAAGTGGCTGCTGATTGCGGCTTCCCCAAGCGAAAATGGCAGCTCTCCCAGGTCGGGGGGCTAGGGGGCATATCAAGCTGCATCCACTAACAACAACCTGCCGCACCATGAAGTATTTGGATAACAACGAAATGAGAAAGCAACGGATTACGTCAGCCCTAGTGTGAGGACATTTTCCGAGCCCCGCTTCGATATGGCATCGGTCCTGCAAGGCCAAGAAGTGTAGACAACAGCTGCTGCCTGGATTGAAGTTAGCGTGCCCGTGTAGATTTTGCCACCTGTGCCTAGCATCGAGGTTTGGTTTCTTCCTCACACAAGCCCATGGCTCTTGTATTGTACACCATTGCGCTTTGGCCCACTGCATGATGAGTGCAGGTGGCATTCAGTCCTGCATGGATGGCTATGCAGGCAGCGGTGTTGCGGCAAGCCTGGGCTTCAGGGCCAATAGGCGAAGATGCTTTGTGAGTCCGCGAGTGCTGATATCTCTAATCTCCTTATCACGCGGAAACGAAGTGGGTGTTTGGGAGAACACGAGGACATGGTGGGGGCTAGATAACAAGCAAGAGCTGACACACGGGGCGAGCCAGAGCCAACCAGACCGCCTGCGTGTAGCCCGCGTCGGCGATTCCTGTTCGCCATGCAGCTTCCTATCTCAGCATACGTGCAACGCATCTCAAGTATTCGCTTAGTTGTGGGGTGATGTTACGCCACGCCAAAGTTACTACTCGTACCAACCAGCATGACTCACAATCTAATTCAAGCTTCGCTCTTCTCTGGAGGCTACATACTGACGCTGGGTGTCGTTGATGGTGCTCGTGGGCATGGGCTCGCCAAGGCAATCCGTACCCTTTCTCTTTCTTTCTCTGCTTTTCTAGTCATGGCAGTCATGGCAGTCTGCCGCTGAAATAAACGGCCTGAGTTGTGGATGGTGATGGGAGATGCCATTGTCTCAATGATTGTGGCTACGTAGGACTTTGTCTGCCTCGGCCGGATCGAGTTGAAGATTGCTTTCAGGGCAATCCTTCCCCGAAGTATTACTTGCGCTAAGCGCTACGCTTCAAGCACTTGCAAGTCAAGCACTCGTTGTTGAAACACGAACGAAACACATGCAATTCAAGCACGGGTGGGGATTCAAGCGCGAATCCTAATTCAAGCACTCGCGGTTCAAGCACTGGCGATTTCACGCGCGATTCAATCACATATCCTGATCCGACACTGGCGATTCATTCACGCAGATCCAAGCACGAATCCCGATTCAAGCACTGGCGGTTTTGAACCCCCGACACACCCGACATTCTCTCGACGTTAAAGGTTAGAGCTGTCGGTTTTTGGGATTTACGGCTTTAAGGGCTTAGGGTTTTTAGGGTTAAGGGGTCTTGCGCCTGGGTTTTTATGGCTTAGGGTTTTTAAGTTGGGGGTTTGTAGACTAAATTTAGGGCTTGGGGTTTGGGCGGTGTAGGCTTTGAAGGGTTCAGGGTTGGGGGTTTAAAGTTTACAGGGCGTTTGGGGGTTGGGCTACTCAGGGTCTTTATAGTTTCTTTATAGTTATCAGGGAAACACCAAGTTGTAATCACAAGCATTGAGGCGATAATGCCGTTAAGCCATGCAGGAGCGAACGCTCTATTTTCTACTGCAGAGGGCTTGCGAGGTAATGCAACGGGACGATATGCACATGATGTTAAAATGCAAGGGTTATCGCAATGCAAAACTACAGTTTTCAGGGTTCAGAGCTTCCCACCCCCAATTCCGGTCCCTTCGCCTGCTTCGTCAGGTTTTTCCAGGGTGGTGGGGCCCCAGAACCCAATAAAGAGACTCGAGCAGCGAGCCTTTGTGCACGAAGGCTCGGTGTGTGCAAGTCCGACGACCTTCTGCTCCGGGCCAGTGCGCGAATCTTCGGTGCGTGCGCGAGTTGGGTGGTGCGCGAATCTGCCGCGACAATGCGTGCATTGTCTGGTGTGGGAATCCGCCAAGGCGGAGTGCGCGAATCCGAATCCACGTGTCAGTTCGCGAATCCGGTCTTTCCCGTGCGCGAATCGGTCTTTCCAATGTGCGAACCCACTTCCAGTTGGGAGGGTAAATGGCTGAGATGGAGTCAGTACCGTAACTGTTGCGTCCAAGTCTAAGCAAAACCCTAATTTCGTTTTTTTACACCAAGGAACCGCAGCCTACTCGAAGGGAAAATGTAGCCCAAAACAGGCAGGACAAAGTTGTCGCTGTGGCATGGAAGGGGACAAAAAAGATCTTGTCCCTAGAGAAAGAACCGCCTGACCTAGCTACATCTGACTACATATCGCCTCGACGGGTCAGTCTGCACCCTTACTTTAGCTGTTTCTGCTTCTGCCCTGCTTCTGCTCTGTCTCACGGGTTGGCAGTTGACCTCTATACCTTTTGCCAGGTCTTGCTGCAGCAATCCATCAAGCGAATCCAGGCAGTGCTCCCCAAAGCCGCTCGGTCAATCTCCAGCTCGGCAGCTTGTACAATCTCTCTCCGACACGCCTCTTGTTACTCTTGTCCTTGAGGTTCGAGCGATTTGGGTACATGTCGCCTGCTACAACAAACAGGTGCGACGACATGTAGCGACCTCAACTGAACATGCAGTCGTCCCAGCTCCAAGTACAACCCGGTGCGATGAGGAGGCAGTATAGGGCCATGCCAAAGACCACACAGGTCCTCCAAGTCCTATACTTGCCAGCGTTCTTTTTTGTAACTTCAGAGCTTTACTGTCTGCAGGCATTGGCACTCTACGAGACACAGGGGCTGCAATTCGTGCGCTGCTTTCCTCGCTTCTACAGCTTCTACAACAAGCCTTTCTGCTGCAATCCAGGGCTTGCGCGGCAGCAACAGTTGCAGTAGCACTCCATGTTGCCTTGCAACGGATCTGACGAAACAAATGACTCAAATAGCCATTGCTTCTGCCGTTCCAGGTCCTGGGACTCACTGCTCTACGTGCTGTACTTGAATGGTGGCAAGCCGCCGGAGCGCTTGTCACTTCAGGCCTGTCACTTTGCTGGAGCAAGAAGCTGCGCTGCAAAGGGCCCTCTGGGCCCACCGTGTCCGAAGCAAGCGTGAGGTGGCCCAAGATGAGATTGCAGCCACCTTGAGCTGCCACAGTTCCTCGGCTGAGTGTGGGGTCTGTATGATCTCGCCATGTTTAGCCCGCTCTGCACGGTTTATGACTTATGTCCATTGTGTCCTCTTGGTGCCTCATACTGTATCACCTGCCGAGCTGAGGCTTCGGAGAGCTGTGGGAGCGGGTGGGCTTCTGGATCTCCAGCAGCTTGTTTCTGTAGCATCGCAAGATCCTTTGAGTGTTGCTTGAGCCCACCTTAACACCTCTTTCTTCAACGCCTGAGCCCATTTTAACAGCTCTCTCTTCATACTGAGGCCTGGCAGGACGTTGTGGTTGCCGGCACAGGTCCAACAAGAAGAAGAGCTGATCAGAGAGTTCTCTTCGTCTACGAGCGCTTTTGTCCATGCAGGGCCAGGCCCCAAACTGGTGGCCTCCTGGAGATGGTGCAGCTTGGTCCGCTGAGCACCACTGCGAAGACCCTCGTGCTGTCAAGTTGGGTGATATCGTCCCCGTCGTCAATGCTGTGACACAGTGATGTCCTGCCCAGCTGGCAGCGTCGAGTCCTTGAGTAAGCTGCTGGCAGCTACTTTGCCGCGCGAGTTTCCACTCTGGGCGCTCATCTAGATTCATCACGCTGCAAATGGGGGCACTCCGATTCACTGTGGCACGCTGGCTTTCAGACGGTGGTGCCACGGACTTTCGGCGGCATCCGTGAGTACCACAACAAAAAGCATGGGTTCCATTCCTGTGCAGTGACATGGGGGCTGTTTGCACCGAGTGAGCAGTGGCTCTGTCGCCAAACCAATAAACCAGGGTGTTTTTCTGATATCCCCACAACTAACGACCTGGGCAACCTAAAAGCCCCGGACTGCTTTGGTTGATCGACCGTATTGGCGCAGCACTTGTTTGAGACCGAAAAAGCACGCAAACTGAGCAGTGGGGCAGGCAGGGCGCCCAGCCCTTCAACAGCGTTACCATTACTGAAAGCTGCGCCGGTTGCCGTAGGTGGATGTGGACGATGAGCCGGAATTGGTCGAAGACGTGCCTCGCCCTGCAAACATCAGTGATCTTGTCAATGCTTGAGTGATGGGTGCAAGGGCCACGGGAGCCGAATCCGAGTTCGTCGACAGTGTCACAACACAGAACCGAGAAAACCCCCAGCATCCTCATACCCCGTGACCCAGACTCCCTCACATCCGAAGTGCTGAGGACCCAAAGAGCCGCGTGCGCACTTACGAGGCTGTGAACCTGAATCAGGGAATGTGCAGCGGTTGGACTTTAAGAGGGCTGGATGGACATTTTGGTGCCTGATGCGGTAAAAACCACTGCCAACTTAGGTATGTGAGGAGTGTCTGTCCTGGTCCATTGTTGCAGTCACCCTCTGACAACAAGTTCACAGTTGGTGCTTGCAAAGCTACAAAGCCACTGCTGCGAATCCCAAAGTCATTGCCGTCAGAAAAACATGTAGCTGCTCTTGCGCTGCGACAGGGCATCCTGGTCTCTACTCTGGAGGAGGAGCCGCTCGAGCCAGTGGTGGAGCTCCCAACATCTCTACAGCCTGGATTCGGCTGTATACGGTCTTGACTGACTCCCCATGACTTGCAAATAGTGTTTGCGCTCGTGTACATTGTCTGCAAGACGGTTTCCGAGCTTTGATGTGCGAGTGTGCAAGAAATTCTGCTCCTCTGTTCAGCCACACAACAGCATGAAGCAACACATGCGATGGTAGCATTCAACGCATATAGCAGTGCGGGCGGAATGGCGCATGGCAAGCGGGGATCTGATGGGCAAACTTTGGAGAAGTGCAGGGAGATGGCAGTTTCCTTGGCCTTGGTGCTTCCAAGGCCGAGCTGGAGCCCGAAGGCACAGCCACCATCGAGGCGGATGGAAGCCCCTGCGACCAGCGCGACCATGTAGCGATCATTGCGCCAATCAACCATTGCACCTGAACTTCGACTACTAAAGACGCATCCTGCTGTGAATCAAAAGCACTGATGTTAAGAACGGACGGTGGAAACAGCAAAGCTGCCTGGCAGGGGCTTGCCATGTTGCGCCATGAGATGGAGGAAGTTGGTCCACAGCTCAGACGAGGGCCCTGAGCTGCACCTGAGCTGCACTGTCCACGACCAGGGCTGCGAAGCACGGAAAAAGGCGGCCGCTTGCGTTGCGTCTCTTGCGTAAGGCGGCCGAGCTCGTCTCGTGAATGTCACCCGGAGCAGCAGCCGCTTTGCGATCATCGCCAGGGTCCAAGTCCGGCTCATGGACCCTGCCATCCTGCTCTTGTGTTAGTAGACCTGTTCGAGATGCGTATCTTCAGAACGAGCAGACTGAGACTGTGCTGTACCATACTGCACCTTCTTCTTCTTCTTCTACGGGGCTTCTCTCTCTCTCTCTCACTCTCTGTGTTTTGTCCAGGTGAGTCCGTACTTTCAGCCGAACATGGCCGTGGCGCAGGGCTGAGATGGGACGTTGGTACCTGTTCGAACCCTCAAAATCGCACAAGTCAAAGGCCGGACCTGTCAGGGATTGTTACCCTTTGTCACATGTTGTAAAAACGAGAATCCGTGAATCGCCGTTTGATGTTCAGTAAGATGATTCAGTTAGAAACTTTCTTGCTGTAATATATACATCCTTTGAAGGAAGTAGCGCCGTTTTGCGACACCTGATTCCGAATCAGCCCCCGGAACAAAACTGACTGCTGAGGTGCATTCGCTGCATTTGTCCTTGTCACCCCGGCGGCCAAGGAGACGTTGCAAGTGTTGAGGTTGAGTCAGTTCCGATGCCTTTCTCATTCTTGCAGGAGAACGCAACTCCCTTTCGTTGGGGGTGGAGTGAAGAGGCGACACAAGCTTGTGTGCAGCACAGGCGGTGCCAGGTGCATATTTTCAGACCCGCTTTTGTGTCTGTCACCTGGCGTGATGTGAACATATGTAAGCGGTTGCACCTTGCGTGATGTCGCGCGGCGGTCTGGGAGGGGCCGGATCGGCACAGCATGTATGCGTGTGTATCGGACCTGTTTTTCTCACTGTTGGTGCCTTGATGAGCCAGGGACGCGCGAGCGTCCAAAATGAAGACAGGGGATATTTGGCGGTTGCTGCGGCCTCAGCCTATCTGCTGATTCTTGAGGGCGATCCTGCCGGGCTTGCATCTGAGACCCGCCTTTCAAGATCCCCCGGTCGTGACATCATTGATATTGACTCAGGACTCAGGAAAGGCGACGGGCGCCCAAGCCCAAGGCAACTCGACGGGTCGGGATGAGGATGCTGAGCTTTTCTGCTGACGGATGGGAGTAAGTGAGTAAGATGGCACCTGGCAAGATCCTCATGTCAGCGGGAGCCGCAGAGCATGAAATTGCTTAGCCGCAACTCCGCCAGTTCTCCAAGTCTGGGTCGACCGGGATGCTTCCAGCTGACTCTCGACAGCAGAGGGCTTTGGAGTGGCTTTGGTGTTTAACGGTTTGGTTGCTCTGACACATACAAAAGCACGAACACACGAACACATGCAGAGCCAACGCACTCAGCAAATAATGCCACGTCTCAAGTCTGGAAGCGCATTATGAGCCATTTTTAAGCCCCCACGTTGTCTCAGAATTTGGCTCAGACCCCGACAAAAAAAAGCTGAGGCTCCAGGCCCGAAGCCGGGCGAGACGAGGCGCGTGGAGTACAGCCAAGCAATGAGAAGACTGGGTCATCCTGGGTCATCGGCCCTACCATGGGCTTCCCACATGTCCTGAAGACTCTTGGCGCTAGTGTGGTTAGCAGACCTCCCGCTATCAAGGGCAGCGTAATGCGTTCCATTGTGAGAGCTCCAGAGTGCCGCGTGCCGGCGAGGCGCAGCGTTTGGGGTTGGGGGGTGGCATGCGTGACTCAGTACCTACATCATCCGTCGCGGCGCAAGGCAGTCCATGTTCTCCAAGCCGCCGAGCAGCTCCATGCCGCAACTGACCGGGTGCCCAAAGGTTCCTGTCACCGGAGTCTGTCACAGTGCTAAGGCCACACACGAAGTCCGATTTCAGTTTGGGTTTGCCCAGGCCAGCGCTCGTGGATAAGAAGGACAAAAAGGACGGCAAGGCAAAACGATATCTGCTATTCCAGAGGGTGTCCACGCACCCGCGCACATCAACGTTAAGTTGCCTATTTCTATGTGGCCGGTAAGAAGTACCTGCTTCTACAATTTCTCTAAGCAGGCTCGCGAGCTGACGACTGTGTCCGACTGGCGGGAGTTTTACAAACAGAGGGCGCAGGAGCTGCCGCGGACTCGGTTCTGCTGGGGCAATTTAATTCATTGCCAACTGTTTTGGAGGCTTTCCTTTGCAGGGCTTTGTGCAGTATTGCAGTGGGCAGAATCCGAGGCCAGAGGCCTATGCGGGTAAATTATGAAGGGCATTGGCAGAATTGGCAGTGATATTGTGGAAGCATCGTTTCGAGTCGATACTGACCTTCAGCTTGCTGAAGACCCACAAGCTGCAATGCTGCTCGAAAACAGCCTTTTGTGGTTTGTTCATGCTTGTCTGCGTGGCATCGTGCCGCACCTGGCTTTTGCAGTGCACCCCGCGCACGCACGCATCGTCTTCGTGAGGCTCGGATCTTGATGCGCAGCCAGGTCCGCGCTGTTGTTGGGAGGCGTAGATGGTGGCCTAGCGGGAGAATAGGCATGTGTAGACCACTGCATGCGTATCCTTTTGCCCCTGCTCAGAAGCATATTCTTGCCTGTGCAGGTGTCTCCTGTCGCATCGTAGTAGGCGGAATTCGGTGCAACTGCTGGCCGGACAGGAAACTCTCACCTCAAATTAAGAACACGGCTATACTGGCTATACTGCATGCACAGCCAAAGGCAGCGTAAGGATAAGAGTCAGAGTAGTACGTAGATTGGAGAAGTTCAAGTAGCTGCTGCAGTCGTCGTCGCAGTGTAGCGCGGAGTCGGAGAAGGAGCAAGCAAAGGAGCAGGAGGCACTAGCGGCGTCCCGTCTTTAGTTCCTGGCCCTGGCAAGGGTTTAATCACGCCACGGTTGGTCTGAACGTAATCATGGACGACGACGACGACGACTACTACTACTACTTCTTCTTAGCCGCGAAGAAGTAGCTATCATGATTGCAGTGGTGGTGAGGATAGTTGCAGGAATAGTCGTAGAATCCGTAGAAGTGTGCAGCGAAGCCGTCGTAGGAGTGGTGTATACTTTAGCTATCTTTAGCTTTAGCGGAGATGGCTATGCAAGATCAACTTCGAAGAGTTTTCAAGTCTTCGCGCAGGCAGGTCACCTGCATGTGGTCATGCTTTGCAACCAAAGCATGACCTCTTAAGCTGTTCACGGTCATGCAGCGTTCTTGGCCTCACATTTAGGGCGCACCGTTATCATCTCTCGTATGCCTTTGAGCCTGGATCCGTCAATGTGTCAGGAAGGGCTTCGCATGCTTTCACATTCTTGGAACACACCCATTGCTCCCGCAGCCTAGATTGAGATTGCTTGCGGTTCTTCGTTTTTACAGGCGCTTGGGTTCCTTTGAACCAGACGCTGTTTCACTAGGCCATCAAACGGCCTTCATCACAGTGCACAAGGGGCCAAACCGTGCCCAACCATGCCAACTTCTGGAAAGTAGTTTACGTACGTCTTGGATGGCAGCCTTCATCGTGTGCAACTGCATAGGATTCATCGGGGCATGACACATCTTAGATTGCGCTTTCAGTCAGCAGCTAGCAATGACATCATCAAAACAGTTGCAGTGATATAAACCTATTAGAGGAACACCCGCACCAAACCGGGGCACGCGGTGCACTATTTGGCGCTCTGCTTTCCTCCCCCGAGCAAGACAATTGGAGATAACACTAGCTCATTGAAACGCGAGCTTCAGGCCGTTGGGCCGAGCGGCCCCGAGCACCCCGCTATCAGATTGTACAGTGTGGTGTCAGTAATATCACCGATGAGCAGTGTCCGCGGTGCTCTCCAGACCAGCTTGTGGCATGCCTGGAGGTGGTTAGGTGGTATTTCGAAGCGTCGAAACGAGCAAGTTTTGGTACGGCAAGGTGAACGACCAATACAAGGTCAACTGCAGGTCAGTCGATAGAGTATATAGAAGTTGATCAGTTGCACTTTTCTGCAGTTCAGTGTGTTGCATGACGCAAAGAGAGATCTTTAGAACCAAACGATATCCATCTGTGAAACGATTTCAGTTTGGTTCGCTTCGATCTGCTAAAGAAGGCTTGCCGAAGCGAATGAAGTGCACCAGGCTCCAAGGGTTCGTCGGCCTGCGCTGGTATTTGTTGATTTCTCTTTTGGGCTCAAGTTGCGTCACGTCATCTACATAGTTGAAGTTCAGGACGAGGGCAGGGTGCAGGCCGAATTCCTGGAGGTGAGCGACAGGTTTCACACATCGACGGATGTCGCTACATGTATGTGTAAAGTGACAGGGATCGTTGTACGTACGTCCCATCAAGCAATTCAACACGTGTTTTGCATCCTCGTGGAGGACCGAGCGGAGAGCCCAACTGCATCGAAAGGTTCAGGAGTGATCTTGGGGCTGCTATTCGAAATGCAGTCCGTTGGTTTGATGAGACGTGTCATGGCATAAATCTAACGGCACAAGATAGGCTAGGGGATCGGCCAAGAGCGCCCAGCCTTGGCAGCTTCTGAATGTGCAAATGTGCAGTCGCCCACCCCCCCACCCCCCCACCCCCCCACCCCCCCACCCCCCCACCCCCCCCCGTTTTGGTTCTTTCTAATCGTCAAGCTTTGTGCTCTCAGCTTGCCGCTCGGAGTGCGCCAGTTTTACGTAGACGATGCTGAATGTGTGCCCCCCCGGCCACGCAGTTCCTTGAGCACCCTGTCGCAATGTTGCCAGTCCGATTCGGGCCCATGTCAGGTCTCGTGCAACGGGGGGCATCCATCGAAAGTACCAAGCCTGGGCGCAGTGTTCAAAACATGGCTCGTCTGTAGTCACTGTAGCCTGCAAGGCTGAATGAACAATGAACAGTGAAGAGGCTTCACGAGCCTTGCCTTTCCAACTGTCCAAAGCTCAGGCTAGTAGCTTGTGGGCGCCAGAAGTCTGTTTGCCGGTCCTGTTGTAGCAGCCGACACCAATGACTTGCTACAGCTTCCAAGGTATCAGCTAGGTTGCGAATGGCTTACGTCAAGGTAAGTTGCAGGAGGTAGCGAGTTTTTTGTGCAGAACGCGCTGTGCTCAAGCCATCATGGCCACCCTGGACTCCGCGGTCTCTGCACATGCCCTCGCCGATGCTGCAGCACAACTCCTGGTGGACGACAAGGAGCGGCATGTTGCAAAATGTTGTCAAGTGACTGGTGCTGGAACAAGATGCCACACGAGTACACATGATTGTTTGTCAAGGCCGGACAGATAACACATGATAGCAATGCATCCAGTGCGCGAGCTTAAGGATGCAACGTCCTTGATGCAAAGGCTACGTTTGTGTCTTCACGTTGCCTGAGCTGTTGTCCCTCAGGAGATGCGTCAGGGCCTTGTGCAGACGCTGAGCCGCCTCACCGACCGCTCCGAGCAACTGGCGGCCATTGTTCTCCGGCTTACGCTGGCTGACACGCACCATACGCAGCATCACGCATCCACCAACACACATAGACACAGAGACACGCAGACACACAAACACAGACACAGACACACGCACGCGCACGCGCACACGCACTTGCGCGCACAGGCCCACACACGCGCGCAGGGCCAGGCACGCACGCACGCCCACGTACGCACGCGCGCACGCCCACGCACGCGCGCACGCCCACACACGCGCGCACGCCCACGCACGCACGCACGGACAAGCACGCACGTGCACGCTCACGCGCGCACACCCGAACGCGGATGCGCGTGTGCGCACGCACACGCGCACGAGCGCACGCGCGCACGCACGCACGCGTGCACGCGCAGACCCGCACATCCGAAACCCGCACACCCGCCCACCCGCCCACTCGCCCACCCGCCCACTCACCTACCTGCCCAAAAATGAAGCCTCCATTACAGGCTGCATCAGCGCTGTATACTCATCTCCTTGAGAACGCCCGCCCGACGTTGCCAAAGATGATGAAATCGTCCCCCACATGCATAGTGCCCCAAATGCACGGGAACAGCTTCAATTGGAGACCACTGATCACATCGCGCACATCATGCAATCAGCATGCGACCAGTCCTGCGTATCGAGGCAGTATTTGTCGAACGGAACGCCCAGTTGACTGATGTGGTGTCAGGAAATGCTGTGTTGCGCAAAGGACGGCCTGAGCGAGAAGGCTTTGGGCCGCAAGGGCACGGATTCTCGAGTAGCAACCCCCGCCCCGCGGCCACGGTCATCGGCTGTGGTGGCCGAAGGACTTCGCCTCTGTCATGTTCAGAACTGCAAGTCCAGGAGTTTGTCGAAAGTCTGTCGTGCGGCATGAGAAGGAGGCATCTCATGGTTTTCTGGTGTCTTCTGCCGGGCCATGTCTCGTGACAAGCCTTGAACGACGCATGTCTAACAAGCCTGGCATTGTGGGAGCCAAGAGCGGGAAATTGCCGAAGTGAACGATGCCCAATGCCCAAAGCAAGGTGGAACTTCTTCACCGCTGCTTTGGTGCTACGACTAATGTTGGACCGTACCCGGGTCCCTGAGGATGCCTTGATGAAGCCGGGAAACATGTGGGACCCCGGTAATAGAGGGGCAAGTACCGGGCCTGGACTAGACGATCCTTTCCTGAAGGATCGTCGCGCGATGGGCACGTGTATTAGTGCTTGAGCCTACATCTAGGCCGCTGCCCACGCTTAGCCCCCCCCAAGTGACGAAACTGTCAGGACCTGCGGCGCAAAAGCTGCCGCAAGACTCGCAAAGCGAGCCTTTCATCATTTGGTCGCCGCCCGGCTCTGAAATGATCTGAGGAAACTTCTGCAGGGTGTCCAGACATGGGAGCGCTTGGGGGATTCTTCTGCCAATTTAGCCTGAAGCTGCTCAGCAGGCCTATCGTTGACACCCATCTTGGTGCCGCAGACTCAGACCGAGCAGGTGCAAGTACTGGGCACATACAGGCACAGAGGGGACCTGTCCTATCGCGTGCTCCAGGGTCCCGGGTCGCCTGCCCTAGGGGAGCTTCCCAGCCATGGACACGCCAGTCGTAGTGTTATTCCTGCTTGTGGGGGGGAAACCAAGTGCAAGAAAGGGCATAGGTATGAAGTGGACAGTAAGAAACATGGCGAAAAACGGTACACGAGGCGCACCAAGGTAGACGTTTTTGCTTTTTGCTCCGGTAGCTGTTTCGGGTTCTAGTGTAGTTTCATCAACAGGACCGTAGGAAGGGGTGATGAACGATCACTGGCAGGGGGGTGTCAGGGTCTACTCGCTCTGTAGCGGAGATTACAGATGGGACATCATGCCCCCCCCCCCCCCCCCCAAATTCCACGCGCCATTTTTGATTGGCACCCTTGTCACTCTGAGGTGCAAGATGTCGAGGAGTTGCGCACCAAGGATCGCAGGAGTTTGATCCTGGAGGCTCTGAACTCTGTTCGATTCCATCCCTTTTAGCGGATGTGCCCTGACATATGCCTGTTGGTCATGGTGATGTGCCAAGAGTTGCAGATTCCCGGCGCGCTGAAAAGCTCGACGTCGCTTCCATCGTTAACTCCAGCTGGTGAGGCCGGGTGAGGGCTTCACATGGCTTCCCTATCTGCCTCATACAGGAACCGCTTCGAAGATTTCGAAGACTTCGCACAGCTCAAGTGTTGACGTTTTGACATTTAAAACGCCCGGTTGTTCCACTTTGCATTCTGCTCAGATGCGAACACCTGCAGCCCGGCGGAGCAAGGCCGGCCCAGCATCGACTCAAAGACACTCAGGGCGTTATGTGGGTCCAAGTGGGTTTTCAAGAGCCATCCATACCAGCGTAGCCCGGTCATCTCGAGGAGGGGCTCAGGTTGCGCGATTGAAGCTCGAATGAAGGCGGCTTACGGGGCCCCGACAGAAGTCTTCACACTACACATGAGCCTTCAAGTAGTGTGTACAGGCACAGGATGGCACAGGTTTAAGTATGTTTAAGTACGGTGCAGCGGTATAGACGGCATAGTATGCATGCTTTGAGGGATTAGGGCCTGCAGTTGAGGGGCAGCGCGTTAAGGGTGACCTTTGTCCTACAGTGCAGGGTACGTGGTTCCTGCCTGACTTGCCTCACTGGGCAAACCGGCACACACTCCCTGGACACGGACACCAGCCGTGTTCAAAGTTGCTTACTGTACTATGCTGGTCAAGATCAACCTTGGCCCCGCGTCTTTTTCGTGGCGAGGTGGCCACCCAGGAAGTCATGACTCCGCTATGCCTGTGCGGTACTGTGCCGTCTGCTTGCTGACCACCCATGGAAGGGAAGGGGAGGGTTACTACCATCACGTTGCCCAGCGTCGGGATGTCTGTAGGTCGTAAACATAATAAAACTCTTCAAGGCTGGTGTACGGAGTGATACGGAGTGTTCGCGTCGCATCTTCGTAAGTTTTGTGCAACGTGGTGCTTCGCTCTCCGGCATTTCTGGGGCGACGCTGTCCGCGGCCTGAGAATCACGAAGCATCACGCAAAAAACGCAAGAAGGCACTGCCGGATTATGCGCCTCACCTCCGCCGGTCGGTTTTGAACATGGGTATCTGGGCTTAGTCATGGCTCTCTGTTTGCAGCATGTTGCGACAGCATTTGAGCTACGAAGTCTTTCGGAAGCATCAAAGCAAGTTGCTGGATGCCATCTCAGGCATGCCATCTCAACAGAAGCTTGGATACAATTTCAGCTTTTGGCAGTGTGCGCCACAATGTCGATTGCAAGTCAGGGGATCTAGCAAGCTGTGACAGCCAAAGATGTGCAAGGCAAGGTGGGGTGCGAGATGTGAGTCTTGGAGCTCTGACCATGCTAGGACCACAACGTACATGGCCCAATGCAGCGTGCCTGTTCAGAGCCTTGGGCATCGAATCAGGACACACTCCGCGTGTGTCAAACGGTACTCGTAGCAGCTGAATCACGAACGTGGCAGGGGATTGCACCGATGGCGGTCTTGCCTTTCGATCTTGAAGCTGGCCTCTGCTGAGTCGCATGCAACAGCTTGTCTTCATCTAACTTCATCTAAATTCTATGATCACCCGCGTCATGGCATGGATGTACCAGTTCTCACCATTGCCAGCACCCACAGTCATGGTGTGTGTGTGTGTGTGTGTGTGTGTGTGTGTGTGTGTGTGTGCGCTCGCGGGTGGGTGGGTGGGTGGGTGGGTGGGGGGGATGTAGTGGTACCAAACGCTCCCATGGAAGTGATGTCTGTGGATGTCGAATGTGTTGAGAACCATCGAGACGACAGCCAAGGAAGCATGGGGAGTCGGGCAAAGATTGAGGATCAACAAGTCACGAAACGGGGGCTGAGTATCGGGAATGATGGGGCTCCATTCTGATGGACAGCCATGCTACTATAGGGATCAGCACTGCTAGCATACCTTGATAGTCATGTGCCGGCGCGGGCCGTCGCTAAGGAAAGCTGTGGACCCAAAGTGGTCGACGGAGCTGAAGCGACGCTTGGAGTGCATGATAGCCAAGAGGTGTGACCACGTTGCAGTAGGTGCCCAAAGCGGAGGGATCTCCTGGGTCTAGCTTTCGGCTGCATGCACCCATATGATGACAAGAAGTTTCTCTTCAGATCTGAGCTAGTGAGCCTGTGCTTCTGAAGGAATGGGGCAGGGGATGCAGGCAGAGGCATCAGGGCCGCTCTGTTTTCGGTATTCTCAAATATCAAAGTTTTAGGAGTCAAGGGCACCTGATCCACACCGAAAAACATACTGAAGATGAACAGGCTCAGGGTGGCTGTTGAGGTCTTAAGAATATAGAGAAATGTTCATCGGGCAGGCAACAAGTAGGCTAAGCTTCCCAGCCAGAAGGTTTGTTTCTCAAACGAGTTTTTGCTTCACCAGCACCGCCACCCCCAGGAGCTGATTGGCGAAATGCGCAACGAATTCAGCACCTGGGCGAAGACAGGGCCATGCCGATGTCCACAGCAGATTGACACCGGCAGTTCTGTCATTGTGATATGGTGCTGCTCGTAGGAACACGTAGCGAAGGTACGACAACCGCTTGTCAGCATCCATTCCCGGCTCAATCTCCCCTGTGCCTTGGCTGCTGTTAATGAAGCCGTAAAGTGTCAAATCATGGCACAGGCCCCTTCTTTTCAAGCAGTTGCAGCTTTTGCGCAGCTTCGGCTCAACTCCTGCTGCACACATTGCACACCCATACGTGTCAACTCAGGAGATGCCATTTCTAGTCAGAAGACACTGAGCTGACTGAGCTGCCTGGCAGCTAAGGGGCTCTGTATACCAAAAAAGGCAGCACTTGTTGCAGTCACAGTACGTGCGTAAGCTCAGAGTACGAAAGATGCGCATATTGGGGGGTTTAGATGCCCCTTCAGTCTTGTCAGGAGTGAAATCTTAGGCAGTCGCTGGATTCTCGCAGGCACCTGCCAGGATTGTCTAGGGGATCGACGATGTCAGATTGGCATCTGAAACGAGCCAAGCAGACAGACATGAAAGACGTCCGAACACCTTCCCCTGTACAGCCAAAGGCTCCAGGAGGAATGTGGAGGAATCATCGCTCGTCGGATGCGCAAAAAACAATCGCCGCCCAAACGTCACGCTACAAGTCTCACTGGTAAACAGGGGCTGCACAGCCCACGCACAGCCGATGTCGAATTTCCTGATTGCTGGTCGGGCTCTGGCACAGAAAGCGGGCGAAACCCCCCGCCCATTCATTTTGCGGAGGCGGGATCCGCGAGTGCATTCCCCCACTCAGTGGGCTTATGACTGCACCACTATATACCGTCGTGGCTCGTGAACATCCGTTGTCCGTTGCAGACTGGTGAAGTTTGTAGACATTCTAGAGGAAATAGATACCACACTGGTTGCAGCGATCTGCTCTGATCTCCTCGGCTGCAGACCCATGGACGGCGAACCGCTGCGCATGGCGAGGGCTGAAGCCAGCCTGCGGAGTGCTGCGGACCTACGGTGGATCTCGCATGGAGGGGACCGGGTGCAGAAAGAGGTATGACAGATGTAAAAATGGCTCAGGTATCAAGGAGACCATGAACTTCTTCCAGGACGTCTCGGTGCCAGTGCCACAGGGCCCACCGCCACAGGCTGCCTCTTTTAATGCGAATGCACTGAGTTCATGAGTCCATGCGTCGGTGGGATGCAGGCTGTGCTGGAGAAGAAGTATTGGTGGAGCGCTCTCGAGGTAAGAGCTCCGTCCTGGGCATCAAGATTGACATTCAGCATGACATGCACTCTTCCTGTGCGCATTGCGGCTTCATCTCCGTGCCAGGCGCTGCTTTCGCTGACGGCCATGCTGCAGTTCTTCACGTTTGACTTGGTGGGTGGCATGCTAACAGGCAGAATCTGCTTCCAACTTGGGGAAGGGATTCGGCGACGAGAGTTGGCCAGTTCCAACATGTTATAACATGTTCCAAGCAGTAAGAGGTTGCAGGAGCATTGGCTTCGCGTGCGGTTCCGCAGCTTGACAGGGACTTGCAGCGGTCCGCGGCGAATGTGCTAGGATGTCGTTTTGACGGGGCACATGCGGCTTCTGCAGCCCATGCCAGCCATGATGCTCTTCCTGGCGTTCATGATGACCACGGACGGGATGGCTGAGATGCACAGGCCGACCAGACCAATTTTCCTTGTCGCATTCATGATGAGTCGAAGAACTGCTCATTCGTTGTTACGCTCTGGTGATATCAATCGCGACTATGATCAGCCCATTCAGTCATACTCAGTCCTCGCTTGTCAGCCATGTCCAGCAGAACACACTTGCAGCCGCAAAGACACTATTGTCCCGTTGGGCAGGTATGCATTGGCAGCTACCTTAGACGGCAGGTGATTCTGGATTGAAGCCTGGCAAGTCCCATGTCATGCCAGAGACCTCTCACGTCGCAGCAAGAAAGCTGTATCCAAGGCGTTTGCAATGCTCAGCTTGTTGTGCCTCTTCTTCGACATGGTGTCCAACGCTCAGCCAGAATGGCTGTACCTTCCCACAGGCTTCCTTCATGAGCTATGCATGCCATTCGACGTGCCATTCTGCAAGGCCTCTCCTGTCATCTGTGGGCGGCCGCTCGGAGGCGAAATTGCATATCGAAAGTTGCATATCGAAGCATCTTTGCAGCATACTTTGCACCAGTTAAAGTTCTACACCGCCCTCAAAAGGGCCTTGTGACGTGTTGTGCTACTGTCCTGCATTCGCTGCTGCGCAGGTGTCTGTGGAACCAGTGGATCGAGAGTCCCAAGACAACGAGCTACGAATCACGTGACCTTTGCCTGGTGCTCCACTGGAAATTGCTGGTCAGAACTGTCCCTGCGCAGGTACACCACGATTATCAAGACAATGCCTTTCTTTGACGAGACACAGGGCTGGATCTACAATGGGGCAAGAACCTTACGCAAGCCCATCCTTCACTGTCCATCAGTGATGCAGCGATGCCTCACCTTGACAGGGGAGCATCACCATGATCCTGTCTCCGATTTGCATGCTGCTTGGGGCGTCAGCAACCCAGGGTAGCAAAGATGCAGCAAGTCTTGGTGCTTGGGGAGCTTGAGTTGATGTTCCCTCGATCTTGTGAGCTGGGGCATCTGCAAGTTGTGTATCGCTGCGTGCGCAACTGCAAAGACAGTGGAGACATGCGATAGCCACTCCTGGCCGGACTCTGGCAGGATTCATCTTGCCGCTCTTGCCAGGGTAAGCATGGAGCACACACACACACACTCTTACACTGGTAGGTACCTTTCTGGACAAGCCCATGTGGAGATGCACAGCGTCTTGGCAATGAAACTGAAGGGAGTTCTGTCACAAAGCTTTGTCGCTGCAGATTGTGCACGTGCATCAGGTGGCTCGCAAAAACGCCTGGAAATCATGCTGACCATGTGTGACTCTTCAGCCTGTGGGCGCTTTTCAACCGCCAACGCCAAGGTACTGCGATGGACGCAAGTCGTGAGAATATGGCAGCGCGCGAGCCTTAGACAAAATCTGTCTGTTGAATTCGCAGCGGTCCATGCTTTCCGTTCTCCTATTTCTCACAGTGCAGTTGCCCCAGGAGCATGGAGGCACGTGCAGCTGAGAACCCTCGGGCGCGGAGGTTCAGGACCGGGCTTGAGCAGATTCCTGATTTGGGTGGCTGCTTTCTCGCTGAGACTGTCTCACCGAGCCGATGCAGGGTGCAGGTGCCTTCCACTTTGCTCCAACAAGGTAGCCGGGGCCTCAACAGCGAGCGAATTCAGCCGCTGTCGGGGAACCGAAGCACATTGTAGATGGGGTTGGGCCGGGCAGTGCCACTTAGTGCGTTTGCACATGCTTCCCAGACATGCGCAAAGCCTTCGCCTGTGTACCGCTTTCAGGCGATGGAGGCGAACGCACGCCTTCCGACAATAGCTCTGCGTCCACTCTTCTCAGGCTCGCCCTAGCTGCCCTAGCTGCGGAGCAGGGTTGGACATTTTGGGGAGCTTTGCAACAGATTTCCAGCCTCACTCTCGTAACATGAGCATCGCAGAGCGTGACGTTGAAGCAGCTTCTGTTATCGGCTTGATATTTCCGGCACTCGCTCGGATGTCATGTTGTTGTGTAATGCTTAGCGAAAAGAGAGCCCCAAGCCAACATGAAAACCCAGTGATGTCACCGAGCATCAGAGAGGTTTTCTGGTCCCAGCCATCGGCTGACCCCAGACTGATGATGGCAAGTAGTGGGCTTTGTGGGCGCATCATCACATTCATCACAATCTGTAAGCTTAGTATTAGATGTTGATTCCGACTTGATACCTTTGTGATGACATAGTGATGTCATGTGATGCATGCGGAGCCCAACTAGAGGCTTTTGAGGTCTCAGGATTCTTGGAGCTGATGCTCCAAGGATGACCTGCCACGTCGTGTGGAAAGACCTCTCGTGTTTGGAAGCCGTTTCTCTAGCAGACGTGCCGCGTTTCTGAAATGCACATGCGGGCACTCGAACCTTGCACGACAAAGATGCATAGGCAGACGTTGGAATGTCGATAGCCTGCAGGGATGCAGATGTACAAGGCAGAAGATTGCGTGGCAAAAAGTTGTCTGGGAGGCTCTTGGAGGGTCGTGCAGTTGCGAAGTTGGTCCAGCCGGAAAGTACTTCTACGACCAGTACTTAGGCTTAGTGGCTAGTGGCAGCTTTAGATTTGATTGCATACTATGTCGTGCGGCAACGGCATGCAAAAGGGCAGGCAAATGGCTGACCGAATGGTTGCGTGCAAATTTGCACCAATTCCCCATGTTCAAACCCCGGAGCCTCCACGTTGATGGATGTGCGATGTTGAACACCGCTTTCGGAACAATCTGTCACCAAGTACTGTAGCAGTTTCTTAGCTGGAATCCAGTGCGACGTTTTCCGGCAGCTCGCGGAACATCGAAACAGAATTGCCAGCCCAGGCGCCACGAATCCCACCAACTCAGCCAGGGGTCGCGTCGACGCGCAGAATCGACAGAGCGGACGCAACAAATCCGAAAGCTTAATTGTGTACGCTCGTTGCACCTCGCTCCGCCTTGCTCCGCCTCGCTCTGCCTGGCTCAGTGCCGTCAGGCGCATGGTACCTGATGCGAGCTCTTTTCCATTTCTGTTAGTGACAAATCTCCTTTTGACACGCAGCGCAAAGGCGGGACCGATACATGATTTGCGCGCTCCAACATCAGAGGTGTTTATTGTTTGTCTCCACGCCATCCTGTGTAGCCGCACCGCTTCCGGGTATGTGGAAGGCCGGGGAAATGTGCGAGGCGGGGCAATGTGCAACATTCCCGGCAAGCCTTGTTTTACGTGCAGCGCGTCCCACAAGGCTTTGCGCTTTGCTGGATGCGAACATGGTGAGTGCGGCAACAAATGCCGGCCCCCACCATCCGCCGCTGTCCGCAGCGCTGACCCACGGCGTGAACACCGGAAACCGCTTGCGTGTCCTCTCCATCGAGTTTGGCGGATGCTGGAGCCGTGATGTGCAACCTCAAGGAAAAGGGTATATAATGGTATATATAGTCTTTGTAGGGGCTATCGGGAGCATGGTGCAGAGGTGTTTAAGGAGGTTCAAAAGTGATCGTACCATGACAGCGCACCCCACCTGTATCATCCCCGTGGCTGGGAGCAGCTTTGATTTTAAGGTCAACATCAAAAGCCACAAAAAGGCACGATGCTTTACATGACGCAGCTCGGCCGGTTGCATCGCGAAACAGCGCAAGGAAATTTCTTAAGGTCTCAGACTGTCCGCTGGTTTCTTGGACCAATGATCGTTGAGTTGGATCCAAACTGGCCGTGGACATGCAAACGCGCAACTCGCTGGTGACCAATATGCTGTGTTAGCTTCCCAAGTGCAATAAATGGTTGTGGAGACCTCGGACCGGGGCCAGGGCCGAGGCTTGGTGCGGGGATTTGGCATCAGCCACAGACCCGCCCGCACTAGTACGCCGGTGCAGGCAACCTGGTTTTGGGGCAAGTCGTGCCTGGGAGCCCCTGGCTTTGGGCTGGCTTATGCATGAAACCCCGAAGACCCGTGCCGCACGTTTTGCGCCGCACATCCTGAAAACTGCAAGCCAGCCTGGGGCCTGAAACGCCGGTGCAGTTCGGGCCAGCCACCTGAGCACAGTTTTGCTTTCCCAAGCCGCACAAGCCGCGGCATCGCCGACCGGATGCCGGTCCGGGCCGGCGGAGGGGGGGGCGGTGTCAAGATCTGGATCATCATTCAACACGTGCTTGAGACGTCGCGGCGTGCCCGCCCTCCGGCGTGCTCCGAGCCCGCGAGGGGCGCGCTGCTCGTGTTTGCAGCCACGCCGGTGCCAGTGTCGCCACCGATGTCTGTGCACGCGACCTCATTGTTGTCACTGAGCGCTAGGATGAGCGTCGCATTAAAGTCATCACCAATGGGTCCCCCTTTGGTTGTTGACACCAACCGCGTCTCATTCCAATGAAGCCTCCGCGTTTGTCTTCTAGTCGTGAGTGTCCGTCTCCTCCCGGTGCTGACCCTGGCCAGGTTCAGCAACGTCGCGTTGTGCCGCTGTTTCGCAGAGCGTTGCTGCCAAACGGGCTTCTGCTCCGCCAACCTGCAGGCCTGTAACAAAGAAGTGTTGGTCGCACCCATCTCGTCAGAGCAGAGAAGACACGACGCTTGGGCATCCGGCAAAGCTCGTCCACGTTACCCCAGGCAGTGTCTAGTCAGAAATGTGGGGGGGGGGGGGGGGTTAACAAGGGATTCGTCTTGTCAAACCTGACACCGGACGCAAAATGCAGCAGTACTGGTCGCGGATTTGGTTGACGTCGATACGCTTCGTTTCAACACATACCAGCCTCGCGCGGAAGCTTCTTCACGGAATTGCACATCGGTTGTTGACTTCCCGGGCAGCTGAGGACGATGCTTGGGAAGAGCTCCCGGACCGCCACATTGTACTGGGCCCCGTTTACGACCGCCATGCCAATGCGTGGGCCCCCGAGTGGGTCTGCCTCCATTGCAACACCGTCGTCCCCACCCCTTGCTATGAGGAGAATCGCGGGTGGGTTTGCAGCCGTGGGTCCCCACCCCAAGTCCTGCCACGCCCACTTGGGTTTTTTGCAGGTGGCGACAAGAACCGCCCGGCACCTTGGGACTGCAAGTTTCGCGGTGCGCGGTGCTCGTTTTGGGTTAAATTCGCGCTCTCGCCTATACACGGGCGTGCGGAGATCAGAGGTGTCCCAAACATCGCAAATGGCACAGTTCTGGCCTCATGGAGGGTGCCAATTCACGTCACGCGCTTGCATAGGTCCCGTGCGCGTTCCGTACTTAGAAATCGTGCTATACTCAGCAACTGCCGAGGTGCCTTGCAATTTTTCCCTAAACCCTAACAGGCAGTGGGTTGGGTGGTGGCCTGTGAAAGCTTACAGCGGGTGGGGAGAAAGAACCCAGCACCAATGAAATTGCTGGATTGCATTGAACACAGATGCCTTCGCGTGACATGCCGCCCCCCCCCCCCCCCCTACACCCCCTGGGTGTGTGGGGGCGTCATTTGCGCATAGACATAGTACTTACTGTCGCTGCGAGGCGAGACGCCCTAAACCCTAAACCCGAAACCCTAAACCCTAAACTGCCGAGAGCGCCGCTGTCCATCTACATGGGCGCTCGAGGCTTCGACCGAGGTCCCGACCGCGTCTCCACAGAACGGTGAAAGAGGGTAATGGCTGCGCCACAGACCCAGGCCGTGGGGTCAGACTTGAGGGCCCCTCTTTTTCTACATGTGGGTTTTTTAGTATTGAATTGACGAGGCCCCTGCTACCCCCTACGGTTTTGCTGCCCTTTTGGCTACATGCCCCGAGATCCAGGCTTTGCCCAGACCCGTAATGAAAATTTGGGTTTGTTGGTACTGCAATCGATGGTTTTGGGCACCTTCCATTTTATTCCGTGAAAGCTCCAAGAAGCCTACGAGCCACTGAAGCTCGGGAGGCCCCGCCCTGCTCTTTCTCTGCAACAAGCAAGAAAGCCCCCCTTGAGGGGGGTTTGGGGGGTGAACCCTAAACCCTAAATGAGAATAGTTTGGGTGGTTGGGGTGGGACTACATGCTAACGCAAGCGAGCGGCCCGGGTGGTTTTAGCACCAGCGAGCTTCCCTTCTACAGACCCTAAACCCTAAACCCTGAACCCTGAACCCTAAGCCCTAAACCCTAAACCTTTTATAAAGCCTAAACCCTAAACCCTAAACCGGGTTGCTACGCGTCGACAAGCCAAGGCTAAGCGACAGAAGAAGAAGAAGAAGAAGAAGGGCAAGAGCAAGCAGAAGAAGCACCTCGGCAGGGGAAATTCTCGGAGAAGTTCCAGGGCTTGGGGGTTTCAGGAAGCTTCAGTGGTTTCAGGGCTCAAGTGTGTTTGGGCTTAGGGCCAGAGGGCTCTGGAGTTTAAGGGGGGGAGCCAAAAACCATCAGGGTGGTTCTGAGGTTTTGGGGTTATGATATGAAACTGGATATATAAAACTGGATGGCCCCCTTTGTCTGCATCCACCCACATCAGACCCCTTCACCACGAAGTCAGAAGCTCCCCGATATGTCTTGCGCTTGAACCTCCACGCATCTAATGACGGAGAAACCATGCTGCCACGTAATTCCTGAACACACCCATCTACATATCCACTAGCAACCCAAGACCTTGCCATAAACTGTACTCGACACTTCAGGTAGAACTGACAGCTTTCCTGAGTGACAGCATAAGCTGCGTGTAAACGGGGCTGGATTGTCGATGATCTCCAAGCAAACTGGAGGATCTGTGGGCCAAAAGGCCCGAGACTATAAATTGCAACGTTGCCCCGCGCCATCGTTTCAATCCTCTCTATGCATCCGTTCATTTTGGATTTCGTTCCTCAAGATGTGACCTTGGTGTTAAGATAATACAGTCCTCCTCCCCTCCTCGGCTGACAGTTTCGTCTTGAGAAACACTTTGTTCTAAAACTTTGTCCAGGTTCAGGAGAGACGTTCCTGTCACCCCTGCAATCCATGCTCTTTCCATGGCCTGATGAGTCTCTGGTGGCAGCTGCAGGCTTTACCCTAAACCCTAAACCCTGAACCCTAAACCCTAAACTCTCGAGCCGCCCTTGCGCATAGCGCCGGCTTTGATCACGGAATGACGGGCAAGCCTCGGACGCGGCAAGAGGTCCTTCTGCAGAAGGGTTTAGGGTTTAGGGTTTAGGGAAGGTAAATTGTAAGTATT